GGTTGTCCCAACGCACCTGAGTCCTGGCAAGGGTAAGAGATTTATTGCAGGTGATTGCCAGTGTGATGGGGGCTCCTACTCAATGAGTTGCTGGCGATTGCTTCAGTCTTGACAGCAGCACACACAGTTATCAATAAATAATTGGAAAATGAATGCTTTGCTTATGAGAGATTTGAAAATGGCCCAACAACAATGGCACTGGTCTACTCAGGTCCGTTAACAATTGCCCACAGACATCAAAGAGCTGTGCATAGAAAATGGCTTTTAAAGGTAACAGGTCTGTATTTGCATAATTTGTAGCAATAGATTTCATTAATAATTTGGTTTTGGATTTGCATTCTTGTCAAACGTATTCAAACCTTAAATAATGTTAGCCTAATTGAACTGAAAACGTTTGTATATTCGATTAAATAATATATAACTATCATGGAAAACCAATTAAAGTTGATAACAGAGCGTTAGTGGTAAAATTATGACAATTATAATTTATTGGTCTTTATTATTATTTACTTAACTTTTACCTACCCTTTAATTGACAGCTTTTAATACACTTTTACCAATTTCAGTTTAAGTATGTAAATCCTCTTGGAATGCAAAATAAATATCTGTTTTTATCTGCGTTTTGTAATTGAAATTCCAAGATATTGCCACCATATATTCGCCATCCGGAAAAGCAATCGGCAATTTTTCCAATCTGAGATAGAAGTCCTTAACGATCACTGTACCCTATAAAGCTTGAATGTGAGAGTTAAAGCAAAAAAATCAATCGATCTAGTACTTACTACATACGGACAAGTATGGTTGATGTTTGAGAATTCTTTGAACATCCTATAGACTAAGATAGCAATTGGATTATAGGGCTTCTTCATAAATCGGCAGCCATCTATGGCTACCTTATAGAGCCATGGCTTGTAGCCACTTGCTTTCTTGAAAAACTGCACCATAACCTGAACATTTCCTTCAACAGGGTAATTAAGTGTTAAATTTACATTTAAATTTATTTTATTACGGTTAACAGCCCTCAGTCGACAGTTGTGAAGGGAAATCCACGTTTTGTTAACATGATCACAAACCAAATTCGTTAATTTAAAATTAGTAGCATCCTTTATGAAAAATATATGTTATTTAGGAATATCATTTGCATCAAATAATTCTTACACAATAGCACACTTTTGAAGCCAGCACGAGCAGCAAGAGCAGAGCACAAGTGATCAGTCGAATGCCCATGGCCGCAGATTCGATTTTGATGGCAATGTGTGAATTATTCGGATGAATTCATTAAATGAGTTTCGCCCGAACGCACTTGAGAACTTGAAAAAAATAGTTTAGCTTTCGATATTTATTTATTATACCCTGAATCCATACAAAATGGGAAAATGGGTATAATGGTTTTGTGCCAATATATGAAACATCTCCGACCCCATAAAGTACACATATTCTTAATCAGGTTCAAATGCCCATCCCCCATAAAAGTTTCAAAACTTTCGAAACAATTTTTAAACCTTGATTACAATTGGATTAGAGGGGTTCTTATGAAATCCACAGATATGAAAGTCAACTTTTAATAGCCAGGACTTGTATCCATTAGCATTCTTGAACAATATCTTTCTCTGGATAAAATATTGTAGAATCATAGTTGAATTAATGGCCCTTAGTCGACATTCATGTATGGAAATCCACGATTCATTGAAGAACTTACTAGCCGCATTTATAAATTTCACTTCCGCAGTTCAAAATAGATTGTGTTTTATATTATATTATATTTACTAAGCAATATCATTTTCTTACATTGTAAAGTATTCCAAAATTGTTGAAAGCCTTGAAAATTGCGTCGATTGCAATTGACTCCCCAGCAGTAAGTATTTGCAATTTTATTTTTTGACTGCATTCATAATAACATTAGTATTACCTATCGGATCAAAACAGAATCACCTATGAGCTTTTAAAGATTAAGCTTTGAATAACTCTATCTATTTATCTTCTTGAATGCATTCAAAAGTAGTCTCTCAAAAAATTGTGTGCATTTTAATTCTACTGATTACTGCTCTCACTACTGTGCGTATAAATATACAAAAAAAATATACAATTTTGATCTCTCGAATAAATCATATGGTAGTTAATACATTTTCACGAGCATCGATGCATAAGAGCAAAATTCAACCAATTTTCGAAACGGAACTAAACGATCATTATGATTGTTATCAACTTAGGTTTGCACAAGGCATGTCGTGAGCTAAAAACAAAATGCCACAATTAATATTAACAGCAAAAGCAAACTGTCAATACAGCTGTCGCTCCTGACAGCCAGTTGACAATTGCAAATGAGGCAACCGTCGCGTCGAGTCGAGTCAAGTTGAGGATTGAGCCGAACAAAGCCACTTGCTGCCTCGAAATAAACTCATTACAGCAATTTATGCAAAATGTTCAAACCGCAATTGAAAATCCATTTAAATGAAATGCCACCAAAGGACACACACACACACGAGTAAGGCCCTTATACTAAGGGATGCCAACCCCTCACCCGAACTGAATGTTGTGGTTGCTGTGTAGCTGCTTCCATTGAGGCACATGAATTCAATTATAAAACAGCGCCACCTTTGACGCGGCGCCACAACAAAGCCAGGCAGCGTTGAGGAAAGTGTGAGGACCGAATCAGGAATGGAACCATGGATAGGCAATGCCAGCTGTTGGTAAATAACATGCTCATGGCCATTGCCATGGCTCTAATGAAACATTTTTTTTTATTTTTTTTTTGCCAAATTTGAGTTTGTCGGGTGAAGGCGACAAAACTTGTTAATTTTATGCAGCACACAGACAGTCAGAGTCCTCCGGCAGGACACACGGGGTGCACAACTGTCAGGCTGTCTGTGCCGCAGTTACACTTCCTGCGGCATTTGCATATTCATTTTAGTTTTTTGCGCTAGCCCTGAAAAATCAAACAATAAAACTAGCAAATATGCGCACGGTGTAAAAGTAAATGCCTAAGGGAAGTTAACATTTTGCAACCGCAGGTGGTAAGCAATACGCCCCAGCCACGCCCCAACGGCTGCTAGTAGGTGTAGTAGTCAGGAGTCGCTCACCTGCCGCCAAATGGCAAAAACATAAATTACACAAACAAAAGGCCAAAAGGCATCGTCCACCGCTGCAAAGTCGACGGCCCACTTGACACCTCATAATAAAATTAAGTATACGCCTCTTGAGCCCCCATCCGCAAGTCGGCGTGCTGCTTGCTGCCTGTGGCCGTTATTTATGCGCTCGCCAGGAGGTCCGAAGGAGACACCGGCAGCCATGAAAACACAGAGTGTAGTCCTTCAGCTTGAGCTTCAGCTTTCAGTTTTGCCTTTGAAGTTTATTTGCGTATTTCAAGTGCGCCCGCCGCTCATTTCAATATTCAAGCGCGCCCAGTTGTTGTTTTTATTGTTCTTGTTGTTGTTTTAGCTGTTAGTTATTGTCTTAAGTTGCAGTTGGGGCACTTTGCTGCTGCTGCTACTGCTGCTGCCTGGCAATTGTTTAACAAGTTGTTGTCAGTTATAATGAATTTTAAATTAAGTTGTTATTGTTGCCAGCATTAAACGATTCCGCCTCGGTTCGTGTTAGTTGTTTTCCGCTCCTGCGGAAGCTGTTTACTTGCATAATAAAGGACCCTACTAATATTAATTAAATTACAGCAGCTAGTTGCCCGTTTTTTTCGGATTTTAATTAAAAAGCGTGCTAAAAGTTTTAAAATCGAATGCAGAACAGAAATATGCAAGTGCAAAGCGAACGAAGAGGGAACAAGAAAAGAACAAAAGATCAGGAACTTTTCATATTTATTTATTATGGTTACTATATATTGAAATTGAATGCATATTAAATTGAATATTGTGGCCATTTTATAATTATAAGCAGCCTGTGTATTGTTTCATATGCTTCCGAATTGATGTAAGCATAGAAATAATTCCGGTGAATAATAGCAATAATAATAAGAGCAATAAATAGTATGTAAATGTGATTTAATAATTAAAACTAAAATCATTTGTTTAAAAAATCCGATTGTCAAAAGCTGATAAGAAATTATATTTGCTGTTATTAAAATTGAATAGTAACTGAAAATAGAGCAATAGTGCTCAAGTTTAATAGTGAAATAATAAAAGTATAGCGAGACTATTAGCTATTGATTTCCCATCAGTACCTGCTCAGCGGATTGTTTAATAGATACATACTTAGTCCTTATTTATTTTAGACTCGGATTTATTTTTAGACTCGCAAATGGCATTCGTTATTTTGACACGGGCAAACATTATCTGACGATTTTACATTTGAATACATACAGTGCCAAAAATATTAAACAAATTACTACTTTAACCACCGTATTCATTGTTACACAAATTGTCAACCCCAATTTGATTATTAGTGTCCCAATGTACAATGACAGACTAGTATATTTTTAAGCTTATTTTAACTATTATTAGATCAGTCATTGAATATAAATATTGAATGTAAATATTTTATATAAATGATTTATAATAGTGCTTATGTCGATTAAGCAATAACGTATGCTACCCAGTTATATGGTTAAAACCCAGCACAGCATGAAAGTTTGGTAAAATGTGTATAATGAAGTTGTATAAATTAGGCAGGCAGAAGCAAGCAACTCCGAGCACAAAATGTATAAATATTCGAGACTAGCATCAACAACCGAATGGTTTAAGACTAAAAGCGCTAGGATTTTGAAATGTCCTATTTCATTTTATCACCGAATCGAGAATATCGATTCAATTTGATTTCATATAGTAGTAAAGGCCACACTTTGAAAGATATAGCCTCTTAATTGATATTTTGCATTCCAACATATATTTATTGATCGCTTGTAGACATTTAAACAAGATTGAGATAAGAAACATCCAACATATTAACAACATATATTTATTGATCGCTTGTAGACACTTAAGAAACCGAAATGAATAACGTCTTTGCATATTTAAGAAATTACTATCACCATAATCGTATGCATTTTAAAGTTATTCGTTATATATATCCATAAGGAATGAAAAATAAACATTTGTTGAAGCCTGCGGCTTCTTATCAAATATCCAAGTCAGGAGCAAAGCATATTCGCCATTTGGTAACGGCAACCGAAAATCCTTTGGGGTAACATATAAATCCTTTAACATCTGCTTACCCTTTATTCAAAAGAAGATTGAGACTGCACTGATGATGCAATGGTGTTGATGTATTTTTAACTTACCACATAGGGGCACGTATGGTTAAGAGTTGATACATTCCTAATCATATTCATAATAATTTTAACGAAGGGATGATTTGGCTTACGCAGAAACAAACAGCCATCAACAATGTAGTTTATAAGAAAAGGCTTATATCCATTCGCTTTCTTCAATAGCTGTAATTGTAGTTGTACATCATCCACTGGATAAAGAATAGTTGCTTTAATAGTTAATGTTGTGAGATTACGGTTAACCGCTTTTAATCTGCACCATTCGAAAGTGACCCAAGATTTATTTTTAGACTCGCAAACGGCATTGGTTAACTTGATAGTGGTAGACATCTAAAATACATATTGATTCCATAAATAGGATATATATAATGTAAAATAAACCAAAATGATCTACCTGGACGGTTCTTATATAAAACGCAGATAGAAAAACACAAATAGCCAGTTTTATTGTTCGTTTCATTGCGTCAACGAATTATAAAATACTGGATACAAATTTGTTAATGTTTCACTCAAATCTGTTCAATATACTCTGACACCGAAGGGTTTCAGAGTATATTGATTTTGTGCAATGTCATGAAAACTTGAAACTTGGAACATGTACTGGATTGTACAAATTTGAGGTGATCCATCCACAAGGAAGCTAGGAAATCGATAATCGCAAATCGATAAAGCCACATATCTCCCACAACTTGAAAGCCAATGTCACAAAATTATGTTTGTAGGTTCTTGGCGGTAATCTTCAAAGACCAGGATGTTACTGGTTGGATCGATAATATATTTCGATGACCACACCCACTCTGCCTCCAAAAACCGGAAACGTCCACTCCGGTCCCCAAAATTCCAAAAAAAAAGCCTATTTCGCCGACAATTTTAAAGCAAAAGCTGCCAAACTTGGAAGGTAGATTAGTAGGAACATCCTCCCGTAATCAGATGGTGTTAGTTATTAGTATCAGAGTATTTCGCAGTCGTCTATAACGTTCTCTCTGGCTATAAATTGTGGCCAGTAATTATGGTTAAAATAAGAAATAAAAAAACAATTAGGAATGCAATCGAGTGTGCTCAACCTCGATATACCTTGAACCCAGCTGTTAATTATATTCTAGTTTTATTGTCAAATTCCCCCTTAAAAAAAGTTTTGCACCCAAATGTGAGCAGATCGGCAAGTGCACTCTCGACTACAGAGTAAGAAAAAAACTAAAGCAGCCCATATTTGTATTCTCGCACAGCCATATAGAAAATGCTTGCGGCTGCTCATAGAAATGAGATCAACATAGCAACATATTTACGACTATAACTTAGGTGTTTCTTAGCCGATCTTGATGAAATTTGGGCAGTTGATGAATATGCACATGGATATTAGTCATTAATTAAAAGCTGCCGTCTTTAAAATTCTTTAATTTATAGCTATCGGAAATCGAGATGTATCGATACTCGAGAAACGTATGCATCTATATTCCAAATTTTAAGTCTCTAGCTCTTATAGTCTCTAAGATACGCATTTTCATACAGACAGACGGACGGGTGGACGGACATAGCTATATGACTTGGCTGTTAATCCTGATCAAGAACATATATGCTTTATGGAGTCCGATATACTTCCTTCTGCCTGTTCCATAAATTTGCATAAAACCATTATACACTTTTTACCCATTTTAATGGATTCAGAGTATAAAAACGTGTTCTAAATGCAAATAATATATTTCTTTCTAATCGTAATGCATATCAAATTGAGTATTGTGTTAGTATTTAAATGATTCCAGTGAACAATAGCAATTATAATAAGAATAATAAATTTGAATATGATTTAATTAATTAATTACAGAATTAAATTGGATCATTCGTATAAACAATACCAGCTCCGCGGATTGTCTAATATAAACTTATTCCTTAAGCAAGTCCTGGTAGAATGTAAAGTATATATTTGTTATGAACTGCGTCCTCTTATTGAACTTCCAAGATCCAAGCATCAAATACTCGCCACTCGGCATCGGCAAACTAAAATTTCTGGCGTCCCAGAAAAAATCCTTTATCCCATTCTTTCCCTGTATTAAATGAAGAATAAGTATAATGCCCAAGGATATTCGATTGCTTACTCACCACATATGGGCACGTATGATTAATGGTTGAATAATCTTTAATAATGCTATAGAGCATTTTAAAATAGGGATGGTTGACCCTTCGCATAAATGCACAACCGTCAACTGTATTACTTCCCAACCAGGTCTTATAGCCATTTGCTCTTTTTTTCACCTCCACTCGCACAATTATATCATATGCGGGATGTAGAACGTTGAGTGAAACAGTTAAAGTGGTTTTATTCCGATTAACTGCTCGCAAACGGCAATAATCTATGGTAACCCAGGATTTATTTTTAGACTCGCAAATGGCATTCGTCATTTTCATACGGGCAAACATTATCTGAAATGAGGATATTTCATAAGTAGATACGTTAAACCAAAAGACGATTTTACATTTGAATACATACGCTTTCCTTAACGGACAGTGCTAAAAATATTATACAAATTACTACTTTAACCACCGTCTTCATTGTTACACAAATAATCAAACTAAATTTGGTTCTTATTACCCCAATGTCCGATGGCAAACTGGTATATTTTAAAGCTGTTTTTTTGTATTGTAAGCTTATATTATTATAGAATTGCCGTGAAAATATTTTATATAATTGATTTTTAATAGTTGATTTTGCCAAAACACGCATATGCTTGCTTCACATTATATTGATGACTCCGATTCGATATGCAATTTAGATGTAATTTACATAAATGGATGGTTTCTATAAAATAAATAACACCAGAAAAATTATTTAACTTACCGAATGATTAGCTTCTACCATTAAAATGGCTCAAATAATTTATAATTGTATATGTATATGTATATTTATATATATATGTATATATATTTCAAAATACTGCAAAATATTTTATAGTAAATTGCTTAGACGTAGATTTCTATAAATATTTTTGCTTGGGTTGTCCAGACTGGAAACAATTTTCTCAACAAATTTGAAATTATTTTAATTATAGCTCAATTTATTTAGGTTAACTGTAATTTAAAAAAAGTTATCATAACATTGCTTTAATTTGTTTTCATTCAATCTAATTTATAATTTATAGTCCAGCTCATTTGCTCAAGCTCAATGGGCAACTCTTAAAACAACGTAGTGAAATATTTCTAAGCATACAAGAGACTTAAAGTAAACAGATACAAAGTGCCGCCCAGCCTCTCTACAATGCAACAAACTATTTGCACAGATGCCCAACTACAACTATGACTACAAATACAACTACAGCAACAACTATTACTGAAACTATACGACTTTATCTGCATACCTACTCTACAGTCCCACTACAAACAGCCAGATTAAATCCTTTCAAAATAACTACGCAAACGAGTAGCATATGCAAATGCTGGGGCTACAACGAGTACAACAACTTTTTGCATTACTCAGATTGCCAACCCCCAGCCATACAATTGCACTTCTCTCCAGCAACGGGGCACGTTGCATGTCCCTAAAAGTTTTTGGCTTCCAGCTCATTTGTTGGTCATGCCACGCAACATGGTAAAGTACGAATAGGATGTATTCAGCAGACTCTGAAATGTGGCCAAAGTCATGGGGTAAACGTTGCCCGCTTTTATCTGAAATGAAATGGAGCGCACACATAAAAGCCACGATTAGAATCTGCCAAATGAAATGCAAGCTAAATCACAAAACGACATCCACTCAAACCACTCCAACCACCACACCCTCCCTCCCATACTCACCAACAGAGGCCTTTGCGTCTGCATTAGAAAGATCAGAAGGGTTTTCCGAAAACGCACTCCGCATTCATACCAAGGCACATTGTACACCGCCTGCGAGACACACTCATTCTGCAAAAAGAACCGATAACTAAAATCAGTTGATCCACGAAGCCGAAGAACTACGCACCTCAAAAACCACATCGTTGGCCCGATTATAGGAGGTGTACAGCACAAAGAGCGCAGTTAGAATATACATCACGAGTGAGATCCTCTTAGTGGGCGAAGTGATCTACTCATATAATGGGATACGACATATATTAAAACAAAACTTGTCGACAGGTTGCCGAAGGTAAATACTCTTGCAGAGGTTTGGAATGTGGGATCGGAGTAGACAAGCCACTTGTCACTCATTTCAACACATATTAAGCACTCAAATATTATTTATGGAGTTTGTAACAATCATATTTTCCAGAAACGTAATAATTAGTTTATAACATTGAAAGTTGAAGTAAACTTCTACTATTCATACTATTATGCTCAACCTAGTCGGATATGAATAGAACTCTCGTTATATTTTAAATATATATTAATAAAAACAACAAAATATTTTATAAAAGATCGGAATTTTTAGTTAGTTGCCGACTCCGACAATTTTATCAAGACTGAATCGAAGTAGTTGGGTAATAAAAACAGCTAGCCAGATTGGCATGTCTATATAACAATATTACAATATCCTCTGCAAGAGCATACAAATATTAACATCTGTCTTACAATATTCAAGCAAAAGAGCTGCATTGCGATGATGGAGACAAAAATAATTGCTTCGGTAGCCATTACGTAGGCGGAAACTGCTGTCAGCTGACGCACATAGCTGCCATAGGAGTAGACTGAGTTGCATCTAATTCCAAGTGGATGTCATATAACTTACCTGGCAACAGCCATATAATAACGTATGCAGGCAGTTAGCATCTGATAGCGCTGCTCCTCCTCGGGAAGCAGTACAATGCGCGTTAGCTTGTAACTCAAAATCTGAAGCATTGCCTTGCCAAAGAGAGCGAATGCGGCAAACAGACTGGTAAAGGGCATGTACAACAAGGAGAGTACCACGGGCATGGGTACCTGCAGCAAATAGACTATCTCATAGGTGGGGCTCCGTTGCATGTCCACCAGAGGCAGTGCAACTTCAATAGGATGTACTATATTCCAATTAGATTTGAGGGTTAAAATTTGTGCGCAACACAGAACGCCATCCGCTTACTCCGCTCCTTGCGAAATAAGCCAAAGATTAGCGTGCACGTAATGTCCAAAAAGGCGACGCTCAAGTTGATGATGGCTATTTGACGTGCCTTCCGCTTTACCGTTGCTAGCAATTGCTGGCTGCGCTCGTCGCTCGATGCCTCAATCTGGCGATATAGATGCGTCACGAAAAGGAGAAAATTCTCGAACTCCTTATGATTCCGGATGACCAGCAGTGTTCGCACCATTCCACACAAAATGCCCGCGAAAAAGTAGAGATTGAGCAGGAATGCGGGCAGATCCTCCCATATGCGCAGCAAATCGAAGAACTGCATTACGAGCAGCACACAAACGGACACCACGAACGCAACCTTCCTCCAATTGGTCGCTGGGGTGGGATAAAGTATCGCCAAACGCCTCCAATTGCCCACATCAATGGCCACTAAGTCAATATCCATTTTCTCCTCAACCATTCTCTAATCTTTATTTTAACTATCTCTTTCCGGTTTGGTGTAGTCGAGTGTCTGGTCGACTTGATACTCTGGCCACAAACTGATTGACAAATGCCTTTTATTTCGCCAATTGACGCCTGTGATGGCGTCAAATGGCCTTGGCCAATTGTCCCCTTTGATAATAGGCGTTTCCTCTAGCCTATAATTTGCGAAATTGCCTCATGACAATCTATTGTGATGTAAGTTGCAATCTAACGATTGCATATCCATTTTTGTAGGTGTTAGTTGGTCAATTGAAAATGCAATTGCAGCTGAAAAATCTATGAAAATATATTTCTAACCTACGTTGGACACCTTTATAATTGGCAGGTTATATAATAATTCGGCAGGTGGTCTGCAGCCATGAGAATTTGCAACATGTTAGTAAGTTTGTTCCCTGAGTATGGTGTATTTGTCACTAAAGTATTCATTTGTATTACAATTTCTACTTTGAACGTGCTGAAGTTGGCTATGCGAGAATATTAAATTGGATGGTTGTACAAAATTGGTTTACGTTTTGTAAGCCTTGAGAATTATTGACAATTAATCATATGGCTTGGAGAAACACTTACATTATATGCATAAATTTAAATCATTCAAGTGAGTGAGTGTACCGCAAGTACACTTGAACTGAAATATATACAATCTGTACAAATGAGAAATAATATAGAAGTTAGAGCACTACTGACTAGACTGTAAGCAAAAAACTGTGATCCTATCAGGTAAATACATTATTGATCAGGATCAATAGCCGAGTCTATCTAGCCATTTCCATCTTTACGTCTGTGCATCTGTCTGTCTATGTGTCAAATCTCAGAAACTAAAACAACAGAAGACTTCAATTTGGGAATAGAAGTTCTTGTATACCACTCGCTTATCAAGTGTATTTTAATTACCTGTTTTGTGTATCAACTAGTCGAGCTATCTCGAATGTAGCATTCTTACTTGTTGTAGCTGTAGAAATATCGCAAAAAATGCCTGTTTGCTTGATGCTTGGCTTGTCCTTTAGTATGCAAATACCTATTTAATTTAAGCATCGATTTTCCAGCACATACGTACGTGCACAGCTCAGCAAGACATCATCAGCACAAAATGTGCGAGTCTCCTGCCATGGCAGCAAGTTAACGAGGCGATAACGTGGCCAGCAGGAATCAGGCAGTCAGACAGTTAGGCAGTCAGTGGGCCAGGAAGCCAGGGAGCCAGGGAGCCAGGCGTTTGCCGGCATGACTTATTAAACAATAAAACCGGATTATCCGTAAACAACTGAGCAAACATGCCAGTGCCAAATATTTGGAACAGGCATTCCGCTTATCATGCATTAAGCGAACGGACAGCGGCCAGAGACAACACCAAGCTGTGCGGAAAGAAAGAGACAGATAAAAAGAGAGAGACAGAGAGAGTGGACAAAAGAGAAAACAATATAAAAATCAACAAGCGACTGGCATAACATAATTCAGCAACAATGCCAGCTCAGCAAATACGGTGGGGAATTAAAATAAGTCCGATAGGACCGGGTAAAGAGTAGCCGGGGAGGGAGGGTGGTCGGCCGGGAGACCCGTGCCCATAAAGGCACACATTATGGCCACTTAACCGCGCGTTATGCCGCAAAAAGGCAAAGGACAAAGCCAAAAGCTCAAGCCAAGCGGTAGTGCTTGTGTTCTTGCCTCATTGTGTGTGGGTGTGTGTGTGAGAGAGTGTTTGCCGACGTCTGTGTCGTATGCGCAATATTTTGTACAAACATGACCAATATCAAAGCCCCGGCCAGACCAAACACCCCTTAACCCTCTTACGCTGGCAAATATGCAATGTCAGTTACAGCTGCTCATGCGACGCGTTGCACATAAATCAAAGGACAGCCTTTTCCGGGTGGAGGAAGGGAGTCTGGGCAGGGGCTGTTAGCGAAAATGCATTTTCTGTGCATTTTTGAAGCTTTGCTGGTCGACAATGGCCATATTTATTATAAATTAAAAGCTAAGCCCTGCAAATGGACGACATTTAATTATCACATTTTCTACAGGGCTTTCCAACAATTCAGCAGCACACATCAAAGCCGAACACACACAACACACGCACAGCCATGCTGAGTGCCTTTTAACCCTATAAACCACAGGATGACATTAATTACGTGTACTTTTACTTGGCTCAGGTCCTATGCCAAGCTGAACTTCTATAAAATTAATATCAAGTAATTAACAGCAGATTCCAGTGGCAAGTGACGTGATTTAAAGTCACTCACTCACCCAGTTAGCCAGCCAGCCAGCCAGCTGCCCTTTATTGGTACCGCCCACAATTGTGTGGGCGTGTCAATATTGACTTTAGCACTAGTGTCGACTACAGTTGCGACTGGTTGTGGGCGAGTTCTAAGCAGCTTTTACCAATTAAGCGGCTCACTGGGCTTATTTTAGCTCTGGCTATATAACAGAGAAATGTCTTGAAAACTGAAATTGCTTTGCTAAGCCTCTAATTTGGCATTTGTTCATTGTTAAGTGTAAGTCACAAACTAGAGATCAGCGCGTGACTCGACTACACGTTGTTAGTTTATGAAGATATAAAATAGTGTAAGGTGTAAAGTATATTTTTTGATTACCTGCATCCGGATCAAAATATATATATGGGTTTTATTATGTTCCCAAGTCTCCAACTACTCTATCCCATAAATGCAGACAGTCGCTTTTTATTTTCTACAGCATTTTGAAGCTCTATCGTATTGGTGTTGAAAACAATTTAACACGCACCCATCTCTAATCGATGCCAAGTTCTGCACCAGCTGGTCGCAGCAAAGACGCCCCCGGTTTATACTCTTACATGGGATTCAACAAGCATGGCTAATACGGCTTGGTTTTGTTAACGATTTGCAAACACGTGTGACGTAGCAGTAGCAGTAGCAGTAGAACTACATTCACATGTATGTATGTATGTACATAGCTTCAGTTCCACTTCTAGAGAGCAATCCCCCCTCGGGCAAAACGATAAGCAGCAAAAGAAATTTTACTTTGATGATATCTAGACACGCTATTTTCGAGGCCAAACAAAAACTCAGCTATGCCGATATATGTATGCCTTACTGACTTATGCATGTGGGCTGTATGAGTAAGTCAGTCTCAGATAATGGAATACGATTGTGTACAAAAAAAAAAAAACAAAACAAATAGCTCAAGTTGGGTACGCTTGTACCTCTGATAGGAATATACATATGTATATGCATAAGTAATTATGTGATTCTTTTGAGATAAGTTCCCTTAGTATTCTTGCATAATTCATTGAAGAGCATTCAGCAAAAGCTCATTTAGAAAAAAGAATTAAAACTATCTAATTTGTCGTGCTGTGAGTCAAATTTAAATTAATAATAAACATATTTAGATGGAGGCGGGCTACACTTGGAGAATTTGTTGTGTAAAAAAACGTTTTTAAGGAAATAATAATATTTTTATTCATCAATTCTAATACATTTTGTAGATTATATAAAAAGATAACAAAAATAAAAATTAATATTATAATTAATGTATTGTAGATTCTATACTCGTGAAAAATCTGCAGTCAATATGCCCATTAAAGATTTTGGTTGATGCCCACTTATAAGAGATAAGAATCAAAGAATAATCCCTAGCCTAATGCAGTTAGGAACATTAATTTGAGTAAGCCACTGTGTCAGATAAGTTAGTAAGTATAATAATAAAGAACAAGTAATTTGCCATTTTTCGTGTTGAAATTACACTAATTAAGGAAAAACCACAAGATGCCACAAGATTTGATACAGACCACAAAGACTTCTATATTTACTGGAATCACAACTAAATATAGAGTTCTGTATGCATCATTTTTCTTTCCCTTTCCCAACTCATTTATGGACTTAGTTCGATTTCAATATATGAATTTGTATATTTGTAATAATTGTATCATTGGTAGAGTCAGGGTGCAAATAGATTAGTCACGAAGTGCACAATCTTATTAGGAACTAAGTACATAAGAAAATGTAAAAAATATATAAAATATATGTGTAATAATTATATGATTAAATTCTGCTGTGGTGTAACTGTGCGAGCTCGTTGAGGTAATTAACACCCACATATTATTGATGTGACCCCAAACGAAATCTAAGAAAGCAATTAAGGCAAATTGCAGCCAACCTGTGTGACCACCTTGGCGGCCACGTTGCAGCCGTTACGCACGCACTCGCTCAACGAACGCTTCTTTAGCCAGTCATGGAGGAAGCCAGCAACAAATGCATCACCGGCGCCCGTTGCATCCACCAGATAGTCGGCGCTCTGTGCTCGATAATCCTCGAATCTTAAGTGGCCCGGTGGCGAGAGCTCATCCACATAGTTGGTGGCAAGCTGCACGCCACTTGCTCCGTTGGTGATTAGTATGATCTTCTTGCCCGACTCCAGCAACTTACGTGCCATCTGCTCCACATTCTCGCTGCCAGCCATGCGGGCCAGCTCCTCGAACTCCTGCCGGTTGCCGAATATGAGTAAAGCACGCTGTGCCAGCTCCATCATCTTTTCAAAGTTCTGGCTAACAATATAGGGTGCACTGAGATTTAATGCCAAGTGACGGCGTTCCCTAACCAATTCCTGCATAATATAATCACAGACCTCCTCGCGCTGCGGCACAAAGAATCCCTCGACATAAAGTATTTGCTTGCGTTCGATGGGACGCAGAAACGACTGCGTACTGTGGAGTGCAGCGTGTCTCAGCTCTTTGGCAGAGAAGTGTGCGGAGGCACCAATGCAGGCATAGAGTGTGGGATTATCGTTGTGCATCAAGCACAAGCACTGTCCCGTCTGCACATCCTCAATCTTTTGCAGGCGCGCCTCAACACCCTGCTCCTCGATAATAGAGCGCACATGCTCGCCCGCCTTGTCCGCTCCAATGGCACCAAAGAACTGGGCCGGCGTCTCCAATTGCTTCAGAATGCGGACAGTGTTCAAGGCCGATCCACCCAGATTGTGCTGGCAAGTGGAGCTATTGTGTTTACAAACAGACAAACAAATAATTAACAATCGACTGCAAATGGGCAGAAGTGTTACCCACCCACTAGCCGCCTCTGTGGTAATGTTATTCAGCTTCTCCATATCCATTTCGCCCTTGGAACCCAGTGTCACATCGTTGCGCTTGAGGAGCTCCAGATCCTGCAGTGGCACAACGCGATCCAGCAGCACATTGCCAAAGCAAACAATTTTCCGTGGCCTGAAAGGGAATTCCTAATTAGTCACAATCGCGTTGGGTGGGGGAAAAACCAGCTCACTGAAGTACGAAGTTGTACTCACGTTTGGAAATCACCCTGCGTGCCATCCGGCGAGGTATCGACTCCAAATAATTTCGCATAAGCATTATACAGGTAATCCATTGTATTCAATTTTTACAGCACGCAACTGACTCGAGATTTCCCCAATGATGACGTCGATTCACACAGCATTCGCTCCACTTTAAATCAATAGTCCGTGATCCGTGGTCGGTAGCCCGTCACTTCCGTCAGTCAGCGGCAAACTGAATGTTCGAGCCGGTTTCTGTCAGCGTATTTATCGCAGTGCGCTGCTTCCCATGGTGAGCAATTAGTTTCAAGCTCTCTACTTCTTTCTTCTCTCTGTGTTTACAAAGAAAACGTTTTAAACTTCGTTTGAGTTTTGGTTTCGCTGCTGTGAGTGGTTGTTCTTTGTCATATTTATAGATTTATACTTCTTTTGCTTGGACTTCTTTGCTGCTTGTTGTTACATCACCAAGCTTTTTCCAGCTTTATTATGAATCTTTAGCCGTGTCACCCTGTGTGATTTAAAAAATTCAATTGAAAATGCCAAGAATGCGATAAATTGCTCAATTATGCACAATTTTCATACATTACTCTGAGCAGATAAATAATAAATAACAAAAATGCTTTTAATTGCGTTATTATTCGACACTGTCTTTTCAGTAGACTCAGCTGTTAGCTTTGTTTGTTTACATATAAGAAGAAGTGGCAGCTTTACCTAATTGCCGGCAAAACAAGTTTCTAGCGTAAAGCTTTCGCTTTGGCTGAGCTTTCGCTTTGGCTGAGCTTTCGCTTTGGCTGAGCTTTCGCAAGCACATGGCGATGCCAACTCGTGTGAAATTGAAAAAGCCGTTGATAACGTTTTGATTTATAATTTAAATGAATAAACGTCTGTTAAATAAATTCAATTGTTTTAACATAAATAAAAGCTTTCACAATGTTAATAATAACGTTAATAAATGCCTTATAAAATATGAAATTAATAGATTTGATTTTAAATCAATTATGGGAAGAACAATTCCGATTTAAAAAAACAAAAAAACAAAGACTAATTTTTAAAACAGATATAAATTAAAATCATCTGAGGGAAGTACAACTCTGATTTATAATTAAGGGGATCCACTAGGTCAAAAGAAATTAGCAAACAAATAAGATAAAAAGCACTAAAATAATTTATCATCATTTCACATGCAGAAAAGCACCAGATACGAGTCAACAAAAAGGCCTGCAACAAACATAAAATATATCAAGACATTGGGGCTTTTCAGAAGGCATTCACCCGTTCTGCTTCGGGGTTTGCCCAGCACCAAAAATTCCCCTTGGTATAACATGCATTCACATAATTGCAGCTTGGAAAGGCCTTCAGTTCTCTCTCGCTCTCTCAGCTCTCAGCTCTTAACTGGTATTTAAAGTTTAAACCGTGCACGTGAGCCGAAACGCGACGCACTCAAAGCGGACGCATTACAAAGCATGTTTGCCAACTGAACTTTGGACCGAATTGAACATCGGAATGTGTGCCTCATGGCAATAGCAACCTGTAGACCAATAAATACACAAAAAATTCATACGTGGATTTGTGCGTATTTCTGCTCGTCATTTAAGCGCATGTTTCGGGGAATTCGGAAACCTGTTTTAGCCGCCATGCAGCGACTGTCTGTTGAGTGACAAAAGTTTGACTCATCCTGACCATGTATTTTTAAACTGTGCTTTTGGCCATGACTCAGCAGTTGTGCTATCTGTATGGCTGCTGAATGCAACAGTTGCTGGCCACGCGGCGTCCACTTGCTTATGCGGCAACAATGGGCCCAAAATCAGCTCAATAACAACGGTTAAATGAAACCCCGACCCAAATGCAACTGGCTCATCATGCAGCAATTGCATGCCACTAGAGCCAGCTAATAATGCGTTCTTATTTATTATTGTTCCTAGCACTCATAGTTATTTATAGCTAGGTGAGTTGTAAACAACGGGGCGTGGCTTAGAACCAAGTTCATTGGCCAATTTCGAGTCACATTTGGCGCTCAAATTTGATGTGGTGTGATTTCACAGAGTATTGCACTTTTATTATTGACGCTTTGTGTTTTGGCATTCAGCTGGCTAAGCGAAAATTTGCAAGCCGTGTTTTTGTTTCTGCGCAGCAAGTTAACAATATTTATATTTAGATTTTAGATAGGTCAGTGCTTATGCAGATCGTTGGTGGAGAGTTTTTGGCCCCCACAGGTGATTAACCTGGTCCTCTTTAATGTCAGCTAACTTTGCTGAGCTGTGATTTTTAATACCCCGAACCCATTAAAAATGCATTGAAAAGGGGTATAATTGGTGTGTCCAATAGCAAGTAACAGGCAGAAGGAAGCATCTCTGAGCCCATAAATTATATACATATATATATATATATATGTTCTTGAACTACATCAGTAGCCGAGTCCGCTAGTCTGCCTGCATGAGCGCATCGACCTCAAAGACATTAAGTGCTAGAGACTTTAATTTTGGCATATAAGTCCTCGTAAGCCACACCCAGATCAAGTTCATCGATAGACCCCATAAGTTTTAAAATTATATATAAACATTTCATCACGATGGGATGGGAAACCACTCTTAACCAATTCAATATATTGCATTTATTTACAACTGTGTTAAGGGTATCACCTAGTCGATTTCTCACGATTAGAGAATTTCTAGCTGTTTTCTTTCTTTTTTTTTTTGAAGAGGAGAGTTCATTGATTTTATTTTTCACAAATTGTGCATATGAAAATTACAAATCATATTACACTTTTTTCCAAGAAGTTCATTTAACTCGTCAACGTTTTCCTCATTGGTGTGAAATACATTTGCTTTTTACTGTGGGAACGGATTTTGATTTAATTTCTTGTTTATTTTTGCTCAAATTGTTACTCATAATTGTCTCTGATTGCAATGTGCAGTATGATTTGTTCCATAAGTTCCATCGGTTTTTGTGGTCGAGATCAGATCGTATTACGGAAAGAAGCCGGGTCGATAAAGTGTGTCATGAGCAATCAGTACATCCACCCCAATCTGCTACCAAACCCCTCACGTACAATCCCCTCGGAACAAATATAACAAAAACATTGTATTTGTACTTACATATGTATTTCTGCAGTTAAACATATTTCTGTTTTAATGTACGTGCCTCTGAGCAGGTGGCAACTTTTTAAGCTTGTTATTCTACCTTAATAACAAATATAATACTCTTCACCCTTTGTCAACAAGACAAAAAAAAAAAAAAAAACAAATATGCTGGCGAATCGAAAATGTCAAAAATAATTCATGAAAAAAGTGCATTAGTAATCTGAAAATATGCGCGGTAGTTGAACCCTTCCATCAGCAACTGCGTATTTGCTAAATCGAAAAAAGCAGATTGACCATCATGACTTCAATTAGGTGAATTACCGAGAACAATGCTAAATTTGATAGTTCCTGGCTGAAACTGGCTTGTGCATATGTACATATATCTGCACTTGATTATCAAATGCATAATCATCCAGTTTATTGAATCATCATAGTTTATTTAAAAGCATCTTTATTTTATTTTTATTTTTTATTTGCTCTTTGCTTGCATTTTGGCATCGTTCCAAAATTGTATGCGCCCCCCAGAGTGTCAACGGTTTCATTCACTAATTTTCGAGTGAAAACAATAACAAACTTGTATTCAATTTCACGTATGTCTGTCGGCCGCACGCTCGGCACGCTCATTAATTAAACAATAATACGACGCACAGAGGGACACATTCGCGACGACATCAAGTATACGCACCGCTTTCTTGGTGCTTCTTTGACGTCAGTCACTGTGGTCATGAGTGATTGCTTGGCAACACATACATGCATATCTGCTCATATATATTATGTGTTTTGAATCACTTCCACGACCCGCTGACCGTTTTGGCATACACCCAAGTGCATGACCAACAGCGAGATGGTTACCCCGAAATCCGTTGAGTTCGCGTGAAAAGCGATTAGCGAAAATTGTTAAAAACCAGAAAAACATAATTTAGTACATTATTAATTGGTTCAATTTGGCATTTAAGTGTTCAATTTGACAGAAAATTTGTGACAAAACCAATTTTAATGGAAATTTAATGACAATTTATAAATTTCAATGAAATGTTGAATCAAATCATCAAGTGGCTGAGAATAAAACATTTAACCTGAGCAGTATTAAACAATGTGTTTCTGAGAGCGTCATTGAAATGAACTCGAAAGTCGAAAAGCATCTTATATCAAAAGTCAAATTCGAACGCAGAAGGAGGCGGTAAGCTGAAAAAAATAAATAAGATTGCTAATCGATCAAATTAACGGAAATCTTTGGACACTAACCAAAAAAAGGCATAAAAAAGAGAAGAAGAAAAGTTGCTGACGGAGATATAAAGCGAGTATTACTTGGAAAAAAAGCACACACACACTCAGCTGGAGAGAGAGAGAGAGAGAGAGAGAGAGAGCGAGAGAGCGAGAGAGGGAGAGCAAATTAGAGAGTGAGAGTTTTGCTTGGCTTTGGCTTCTACGCCGGCTGGCCTCTGTCTCTGACAACTGTTGCGTGAGCAGGCCCCCCGAAAGCTTTAGCCGCAGAGAGCGCAAGCAAAATCGCGCGCTCTTCTTATGAAATTCGCTGGCGACGAGCGGGCAGCTATAAAAGCGCTGGATCCACACTGAGTGGTATTCATTGTGAAATTGAAAATCAAAATTGAAACAAGCACAGAGCAATACGGTTGAACGGATTTCAACGTGAAACGTGAAAAGAATTTCATAAGCAAAAGTTAATAGAGCGCAAATTGCCAAAAAAAAAAGATAAAAACAAGATATATTAACTGAAGACAAACAAAATCAAGAACAAACAATAACAAAGCAGTGCAAAAAGTGTACGAAAAGCAAACAATAAAAGTGTCAACCAAAGCTACGAAAATAGCTCAAGATCAAGTGATAAGCACAGAAATTAACAAATCCAAAATGGTCATAGAGGAATCAGTCAACATGCATCACTTCACACAACAACACTACCACAACCTAGAAATGGAACTGGATATGGAGCTGGCCGAGTGCGCTATGCCCATTGGACGTATAGTTAAGACGGCTCTGCTGCGAGCCCAATCCGAATCTCGTGTAATTGTCGGCCTCTCTGACGCAATCAATGTGCTCTCCAAGTCGCCGGAGGGTTCGCTCTTCTGCCTGATGGCGGAGCCCAAGGCTGGTGATTCGGCCACTCACATGCACGAGGTGCTCCTGGAGGCGTTCTGCTATGAGAACGACATCTATGTGATTAAAGTCGACGATGCCACCAAGCTGAGCCGCATTCTGGGTCATGAGAGCGTCGAGTCGTGCTGCCTGGTGCAGAAGACCTGGGGCGGCGAGCAGAGCGAGGAGCAGCTGAATAAGGCCGAGAATCAACTGGTCGACTACTGCGAGGTCCACTGGGATGCCACGCAGCAGCCCATTGTCCAGTTGCCAGCGGTGTAGGCGAGAGTGCGAGACAGACGTTAAGTTGAACAGCCCGGCACAGTGGGGCAACACTTGGTTTAAATTGAACAAAACAACAACCAACAGATGGTTGATGCACCCGAACGTTTGGAGAGTTCTGCGGAAACCGACGTTAGGGCACAGCCCAATTACATATATATAAATATATACATATATATATTTATATTTCAAACAAACATATACATTCAGAGTATATGTGTATAACTGTATATACAAAGGAGGAGAAGGAGGAGAAGGAGGAGCAGCAGCAGCAGCAGTGAAAGCAGATGGCCAATTACTCTGGTTTAGAGAGAGAGAGAGAGAGAGGGAGAAATACGATGACCTTCGTTGGAGACGAGAATGTAAAATAGAACTTGCAGCAAACAACAACAACAACAGCCTGCCTGCGGAAGTGCATGCACTCTCTTCGTCTCTCCCTCTCTCTTCGATCTGGCAACAATTTCATAACCAGAGACACACAACACACGCACACCAACACAGAGACACGCTTAACCGCGTGACCAGCTGCAGGCTATATTTTTTTTTATGAGGCAAATTATTGATAATGGCGATTATTTTGTTCACATCACAGATATATGCAGTAAATTGTTATTGTTAATTATATGAAAAAGAAAAATTAAAATCAAAAATTGCAATTTGTATTTAAAAATTAAAGTTTTGTTATGTTAGCTTTTCATATAACCGGCAGCTATTGTAACACATCACAACCAAAAAAATGTTATTTAATTTTAAGCATAAAAATTAAAAAAAGAATTTTTTGAAAAAAAAAAAACTAATAAAAAAAACCTTAAAAAAAAACCCAAATTCTCATGTTTTATCATTGACAAATTTTTCAGCGCTTTAATTCTACAGCAAATTAACTTCCGCCGAGTGACGAGCGTCCTGACGTCAAATGACTTACATTTGAATACCTTAAAACTGGATATAAGTCCAATAAAATGTCATCAATCTATGAGGCACTTCTGCTGCGGTATTCCCCCAGTGAATCGTCAATGAAGGCGCGTTCTTATCAATTATATTGACTCATACATACATATGACTGCAATCGAGGCAATAAACTCGCAATAAGCAAGTCAAAACTCTCCCAGCGAACCCGACAAAGTTGCCAAGCCATTTAACCAGTCGCCTGTCATGAACAACGGCACGTTTCAGCCAGATGTTAATATAATCAATGCCAGACAGTCAGACAGTGCGACATCGTGCACTGCAACATGGAAAAATTTGTTTGCAGAGCTCCATAGAAAATTCCATCAGACGCTCTAAATAGGTTTGTGTAGGTCAGTTAGGCTAAGAGGCAACAGCTAAGAACGTGCTAGTCAAAATGTTAGAAAAAAAACACTCACAAGCAGACAACAAAGGACAGTTTAGACTGATAATAATTTGTTAGGGTAGCATTCATATTTAAAAGGTCAATCATGCTAATTGCTTCAAACCGAGCTTTGCACAATCGTTCTGATATTGGCGCTAGACTGATTTCATTTAGGTATATTTTATCAATTAATTTAATTTGAACTTCAACATAACTTTATTGTATAATATTTTTATTTATATATATATATATATATATATTTGTGTTTTTAAATTTTTAAAGTCAAGCTTATTTATTTAATTATTGAGAACTTTTTTTTTTTAGCAAATTACGAACTCCTTGACGTCAACTGACGATTCGCATTTAAAAGAAAAGTTATAAAGCTTACGGATTGCACTTGCTTGTTAATTATTACAATTGTAACACTAAGTGATTGAATAATTATAAAACAAATAATTGTGCAATTATTTGAGTTAAGCGTTAGCAGAATTGTCATACAATTTCTAATCCTTAGAAAATTAATTAGCCTAAATTAGTATTTGCTCAGTTGGCTCAACATGGAACAAATGATATTATGCCTTTTGTTCAATTTCTACAGAAAATCTCGTTACGTACTATCATAGAATAATATTGTCATATTCATTGAACAGCTGAAATTGGCATAGCCATATATATGGGGGAAATCCGATTCCCCAGGTGGGCATGGCCTATGCAAATGTGGGCTATGAGAAATTGTCGGGTAGTTCACATTTATCTGAATTGTTTCACTGTTTGCGCATATCATAAAGCGTGACTCGCAAGATGCCGACTTTGGAGACTTTAGACTCAAGCTCGATGCTTGGGGCGCCCCTTTGTCGTCTGCCAAGGCGAACGACCGGAATCGCCCCAAAGAGACCGAGTGCAAACTTCAACGCCAATGGTGAGGTTGCTGAAGGCAATGATTCATATCGAATAAAGCTGTGACTATTTGGTGCTAGCTCCAAAATTAGCATACTCTCATGTCGCATACTGAATGAAATACCCGTTAACCAGTTACCTGTTGTCAACCGATCTAGCCAAATAGTTTGCTGTGCGACAACCTTTGAAATCGCTCAGCTGTGCTGGCTCAATGATGTTGCCCACCCAATATCGATGCAAGCAGCAACTTATATGACTGCCATGAAAACACGCTAATTGCCAGGCGGACACTAAAATTCCCCTTCCCACCTAACAAAAATTGGTAGCTTTATTGAGCTTGTCCAGTGTAAGTCAATTGAATCAAGTAATAACTTAAACGCAACTAGTGCGAGTTTAATTTGAGTATTTATTTACTGTTAATTCTAAATCGCAATTCCAATTCAGCGGGCAAACATGTTTTTACTTGTATACATAAATATTATTATATTATTTGCGTACAAGCTTCGTTTGAATCAAATTATTGTCGTTTTCCCCATAATAACAACAACTATAAAACAATAACAATAAAAAGCACCGACTTATCAGTGTTTTGAGTTCTCTCAAATATGGATTATACGCTTGCTAGAACGTGTGTAAGAACTCTGGGAATTTCTATTGAATTTTCAAAGTGATAACAGGGCTTTACTTTCAGCAGTTAAAACTGACCTGCTTTCATACATTCATATTTACTTAATTATATTTGCCGTATATATGGTCCACATATGTGCAGAAAAAACCATTAATTTTCGAAAAGTATTTACGTATATTATCTGAATGTCTATCTAGTATTAATTGAACTGTTTTGTGTCAAGCACTGATAAATGCCAAAATTTCCACAATTTATCAAATACTGTTGTGGTTGTTGCAATATACATAATTTGGCTAGCACGCATATTTCGAATTGTTGACTATTATAGTTAGTTAAATGTGTTGAACCGTTGAACCTGTCCGCGCTGCTCAATAGCTGAGAGAGAGAGACTCAAAGCTGCGCAATAGACACGAGACTCGCAGCAATATTGGCAGAAACACGCGAGCGGAATTGTTGTGAATGAAAAGCTTTCAACCAGTTTTGTAACAAACAAACACACACACACACAGACACATCTAAACATTACATAAGGGAAAGCACACATTGATCAAAGCATAGACTACACAAAAGGAAAATACAAAACTGGGGAATTTCCAACAAATAATATAATTAAATAATACCGGCAATCAGTATATCAAATATTTACGAAGATGCCCTCATTTGCTGCCATTCTATATTTATAATTCTTTTTCGTAATTATCAAATAAATAAGCGTGTAGAATCGTGAATTGCAGAATAAACGTTAAGTAATGCGTTTTCAATTTACACTGTCTATATATATATATATATATATATATATGCATTTATTCCTCTCTCTCTCTCTCTCTCACTCTATCTCTGTCTTTATTTCTTTCTCTCACACCAAAGTAAATTTTAATGAATTTCGTCTTTTACAGCTGATTTGCTTTGTTAACACAGTTAACAGCTACAATAAACCAATGTAAATGTTACCTTTTATCATGCTTGCGTTGCTTAAGCAAATTTTGGAAAAATTCCTGTTGATTTTGAAATATTTAAAAGAATCCAAAATATGTGCAACACGTGCGAAGTAAACAAATAAAATTCAAAATTCTGTGGAAGCCCAATCAAACAAATCACATTTAATAATAAACATAAGCAGTTGAGAATCGAGCTGACCCTCATTAAATTAGCTAAACAAATAATGTAGCTCAACCCGTTTCCCACATTGCCAAATGATTATGAGTTTGCAGAATTCGATAAGAGAATTGGTTGGTGCTTTTATCCTAATACTTTTGTCGAACTGTGCAATTTGTTCAACTGGTGAAATTGCTCAAGATCTAACAAACGGAATGTGGCATGTGTGGAGAGCAAAGCACATCTCTCCTTTTGTAAACAATTGAGATACATTTGTATTTGGGTTTCGACCTGCATTCAAACAGCCAACTTAATAAATTTACACATTCCAGCTTGAGTTAAATGCGCACCGCGCACATCTTAGATAAATACAGATAGAGTTAGTTAGATAAATAGATAATAGTATAGTTGCGACCGATAAAACTAAATACGTGTTCGAATACAGTAGACACTTGTGCAAATGCTATTTTTGGTGTATTCATATTATCAATGCGCCATTTATAAATCGTAAAACGCAATTGCACCTGTGGTTCGCAATTTTCCAAAATCATTGGTACAAACCCTTGCGCTAACTGAATAGTGGATACAAAGTAAGCCCAAATAAAAGTCAAATTAACACCACGCTTATAGTTGTGAAATTGTGTGTGTACATAATAAAAATCATTTGCTGTCTGCTGTCTGACTCGTGCTCTACTATTTAATATTTATACCCAATACCTCGTACAAATTGCTAGTGCAACGGGTATGCCCAGTAATAATATTTAACAGGTCGAGGAAGCGTTTGTGCATAAAACCTCTAGATGTGATTACAAAGCAATAAAAAATTTACAATCGTTTTATTTGAGTAATTGACTTTTTTAAACGTTTACTTCTAATCATAATTATTTAAAAAAAATAAAACCCATAAATTTTATAACAGATGTAACTCATGATCATATCAGTAAATTATGGTTTCAATTAGCCTTAAATTAAAAAAAAAAGTAATTAGTTGGGTTTAAAAAAAGTACTCCCACACTATTAATAATTCATATATAGTATATATAAAAACAGCCAGCTATATTCATAATTAAGTAGTAATAAAATGTATATTTTTATATGTAATCAAATTTTTTTTTTTTAAATATATCTAAAAATTAAAAAAAGAATGTCAGTAATTATTATAGGGTATTTCTGATTCAAGCAGGCACACCACTAAGCTAGTTGTATTTAATTGTCAGCATTGATTTCAATTGTTCGTTCGTGGCACTTTTAGAGGCGGCGCCAGTTAACATGACGGCGTTGAATTTCACAAGAAGTGCAGAGTAACGCCAAATGCTGATAACAAAAAGCATCGTTATCTCGATTCGCTCTCTTTTTTTTGTTTTGTAGCGCGTGCCGGCAGACGGAGAATGAAACTTTGAGTTTGGTCGCGTTGTGGCGATAAGCGACGTTGAAATACATATACGAATACGCAGCTTTCTGGGGAGGAGGTTGTCGATCTCAAGGTTTGTGCTGGGAGCGGGGCGTCACCTGTTCGCGACATGTCTGAGCACGTTTTGCACGAGCAATATGCAACAGTAAAAGCACCGTTCAGCTTACGTTTTTTATTATTGTTATTGATCGAGCGGCAGACATACATACATATGTAATGTATTTGTATACACACATAAATGTCTTATAACATTCCTGTACAATGGCAGGATTGTGTACATGCCGCCATTGCTTCTTGCTTACGTAAATCGTTGCGCATACGCAGCGTGTGGCCGTTTACCGTTATGCAAGTTGAACCACCCAGGCCATCCAAGCCACTCAGCCACCCACTGGCAGGACGGCTGGCCTGCTGCAGCCAAACTGCGTCAATGTCATAAAACTTTCTCACGTAAGTCAAATTCAATTGCTTGCTTATCCCCACTGCAAATCGCAGCTCATCCTCAGCGTTCGTGTTCCCTTTTGGTATTACGCGGGATATTAATAAGATTTTACAGCAGTATTTACAAACGAACGTTAACGATTAATTTATTAACTGCTTGCTTAATAAAGTAATACCGATTTTGTTTAATGAATCCCATTGCGAAGCTGCAAAATATGTATCTTATACACACTCTTATACAAATACATTTACTTCTACTGTGGGCACACATGTGGGCGGATTTCGGTATTTTCCTGCAGTAAATATGACCGAAATGCAATAAATAATACGTATACAATTAGTACTAATACATTTAATCGCATTTCTTCACGTTCATTGGGGAACCACACAGACTACACACATGGTTTTCAAATTGCTATTGATACAATTATAAGTCTATAAATTTATAGAGGAATTTCGAATACAAAACATGCTGCTTCAAAGGTTATGACGAAAGCAAACCCATGACGTCAAACTATTATATCACAATCATCAACCACGCGTTTGCTTGTAAATACATACACATATATGTATTTATTATGTATGTACATATTTATTCATTATACGTGTGTGAAAAAATATGTTGTAGCATAATTGTACTGCGGGAATTTGGTTACATATAAATATTTTAAATAACTCTAGACGACTTATCATCGTTTGACAAATCATCTTCGATGTTATCAATAGATTCGTTTCCTAGGGTCAGAATGTTATGTGAATCTCTTTATATATACATTCATCACCTCATACAGAATATATGTATCTAATGCTTGATTTTGATATATGCTTAGAAATAAATCAACAACTGTACCAAAAATGATTGTCATTAATTAAGCGTATCATAAACGTGATAAAAGCGTGTACCTAACTGGCATATCACGTTTTTGGGCATATGTTTTAGGTCTAAACGTGTGCATTTTTTATGGCCTGGCAACAAATTTTTTTTTTTACCATTATATCTATATAATACCTAAACATAATCAATAACAATTCCAATAATCATACAGGAATTATAAATGTGACTATGGGCTAAGTGCCCAATTCTAGAGACAAGACTCAATATTCTTGCACTTGTCTGTAAAATGAGTAATATTTTCTGATAATATTTGGCTTCTGGGAAGAAGTTTGCAGACCCCAATCGATGTCTATTTTTACAACCCAATGTGCTATATTTAAGACTGAGTATTTTACAACACATTTCACGTTAATGGTATAACAAATGCTTTCTGCGAAAAGCCAGACAACCCCAGCTGACTATTGCCCTTCTATCTTATCAGTTATTGTACTGCTTATGTCTCACACCCAAGTTCAAGCATGCTAAAAACAACTTCAGGGCGCAATTATATACATACATACATACTACAGAAACCCACTTTCTCAATCTTATCTACACAATATTTACCTGCAACTTGGTGGGGCTTGGGGTTAGCAACGGCAGCTTTTGCATTTGCAGAAATCACATTAAGAATGCGACAAAAATAATTATTTTGTTGGCGTTGCCTCTGAGGATTGTACAAAAATAAACTAGATAGGTATAAAAATAGCTTTGGCGCAAAGTTATAATTAGCAAATGGCAAGTAAATGTTTTCTGCATAAATAGCCAAGCAAACAAGAGCGCAATAACAATAACAAATCACGGAAAATTTGTATCAGTCGTATGTTGTGCATACATACATATATGGAAAATAAATGTATATAAATATACACCTTATCAAAAGTCGCAGTTCCAAGGAAAAACAGTATTGTTTACTGCGCTGAGTTGAAGTCGCACCAAAATCGTGGGGAACCACCAGAACGTCGTTGGCTTTTATGGCTAATATTAAGTGGGCTTGTGAAATACGTTATGGATCTCTTGATTCTTGCGAAAGAATTATAACATTAAAATTTGATTCATTCAAAAATCCATTTTAAAATTCAGTCCAAATTATAAATATTCATTAGTTTATGTGATTATATTCTTGAATTATTAAGTATTATTTGGTTCAGGTGTTTGTTTGATGAGTGGCATTAAAATATAATTATTCATTAAATATATCAACTTAATGTATTTCGATGTTAGTCAATTTCAGTACATGTTCAAAGCATGAATCCATCAATGCAAATCGAAATATCAATTCAATTTGATATGTTAAAGTCTTTAATTAGTTTTAGAATACTTCTAATTTTAACACTGAAGTGCAGTGAATGAAGATCATAATGTATGCCTTCATATTAAAAGTTGAGATAGGCAGTTGAGCACTTCTATTTTGAATTAGCTTATCGTGCAGATAAGAAATACTTGTACAGACGAAAAAACCTATGGTTTGACATTTTGGCAAACTGTAATCGAACTGCGCACTTTACATGGCCAATGTTTGGTATATGCCCAGAAGGCCAACTTATCAGACGTAACCCCATTTGTGGGTGCAGACAGCAGACAAATAATATGCTTTTTGTTTATGTCTACGCTCTTGCATCAGCCAATTGTAGTATCAACGATTAGCAATCAAATTGCCATTTGATTAATCAGTTTCGGCCAGCTGTTGATCAAAGTGCAAAAGTGCCTCACAAAAGATGATTTGTTTCCGACTTTAGTCGGCGCCTTAAAGGTAACCCAATATTTAATAAACCGTGAATCATATTGCGTATAAGCGAGAACTTTGCTCTCGAGTTATTATGACGGGAAATGGCCACTTCCTACTGACTGATAACAGACTATTTCGTCTTCTAAATTATGGATGCCGCAGACTCCTCCAAGGTATCTATGACCATATATGGCAACCTTTTGAGGTACATCTGAAATTAGTCATTTGCTGACAAGCACACGCTTGACGCTGATTACTCATACGCCACGTAATCACAGACCTGCCTATCGCAAATGATAGCCTAACGGTTGATTTTTTTACCGTACCGTACGTTCCGGTGCGCTATGGTGTGCTAGGTCAGTTAACACTAGCTGCTCGCTTGTACGCCCAATACAATATGCTAATTGATGCCGATTATTTTGTAGGTGCATAAGCATTTGAAATTTATACGCTTCTCGCATTCAACTTCACTTGCCGCGAATCTAGCGGTTTTTTCGCGCATTCGCATCGCAATTGTAATTGTATATGAGATACATCTGCTGGGTGCTCCAGATACGCCTCGAGTCGCGCATATATGCGCATTTAGATGCGATCGGGCGATAAATTTGCCAGCGCCAAGCTGGCGACAGTCCATTCATTTGCATCAGAACGTTCTATAACTGTTCATTGGGACAACTTCCTTTGTCTGCGGCCAAACGACACGAGGAACCAGATGGAAGAGTATAGTTGGATGCTGCAGAGTTAATACACTAGCAAATGTGAATAATACTCAGATAATTTTATCTAAAATCGTGTGAGATGACTGAGAGTGCTTCTATCGATTTGATTGGACTTTGTTGACTTTATTGGTGATGAGATCTTAAAAAACAAAAAGTAGTTCAGATTAATTCTTTCTTTTGCTACCGTTTATTTCCATATTTGAAAGATATTAGCAAGTTGATCCAAGCTTCGATAAGCTGGCATTTAGTTTTAGTTAGTTTCTGTCTAGTTTTTTGATAATGACTTCCAGGACAGCAATTTTGATGATATCATATTGAAATTTGATATCTCAACTGACAGTTTAGTTCAGTTGGAGACTTGAACCAAAGCAAGGGTATACAAAATGAAAACTCCAACTCCAAATACAAATGATAATTTAATTTGATTTTTGCGTTGATTCTCAACTGAATGCATTTATAGATTTACGCATAATCGGGTAAACGTGGCTTAACGCTACAGGTGTACGAGTATGAGTTTGAGTAAATATATGAATGTGTAAATGTAAATGTGGATGAGTACGAGTATATAATGAATTGGAATTACATTTTCGTGAACTGTGCAAAAATTAAAAAAATCGATTGTGTGTGGAATGTTTGGAGGGAATCTTATTGATCATTGATCATTTTATGGTATCAGTTTGGCATCCATTATATTGGACTGTCGCAGCTGCTCAAGTGCCATTTCATGCGCTTTGAAGTGCTCACGCCGGGCCCTCTCCAGTTCACTGAATGCAGTGGTCGAGGAAGTTGAATCACTGGGAGCAGGTTCACTGGAAGGTATAGTTTTCAGTGTCGCCTGCGCTTGAGGCTCCTGCAGCTGAGGATTTTGTATTAAGTTTTTCAGGAATGGATTCGGCTGTCTCACAAAGGCATCGGTGAATGTTTGACCGGGCGTCTGAATGCGCAAAATGAAGCTATTCTGCACCTGCTGCTGCTGAGTAATTGTCTGAGGTTGTGGCTGTGACTGGAACTGCGGCTGCGGCTGCTGTTGTCCAATCAGTTTGATTTGCTGGTCGGCGGGCGTCTGAATTGGACCGATCATTTGCAGCCGCTGCTGCAATTCCAGTTGCTCAGCCTGCAGGCGCTTGGCTTCGGCGAGCCGTTCGTTTTGGCATCGCTGCAGCTCCGCCTGCTGTAAGGAAATACGCTCGGCTTCGAGGCGACGTTGCTCTTCCAGGATACGCTGCTCCTCGCGTTGTGCCTCTAACTCAGCCAGGCGCAGCTCCTCGAGACGATCTTTTTCCTGTTGCCGCTTCTCATCACGTTCGCGTTCCTCATCGCGTATCTTGTCTTCGATGTCAGCCAGTTGATCCTCGGCCATCAGCTTATCCTTTTGGAGCTGCTGAATTTGCTGCTCGTTCACCTTGATCGTTGTCGTTGGCTGGGGTAAATATATAAGTGGAATAGTGCTTGGGAAGTTTGGCACTGGCAGTGGAACAATTGGTTTAGTATTTGTGTCCTTTTCTGGTTGCTGTTGTCGCTCGGCCTCTGCTACGCCAAATTGTTCAAGGGGCAGTTGACTTTGTGGATCCTGAGGTTGTAGCTGTGGCCGTGCGGTTGGCAGAAGGGGCTGCGGATTTGGAACGGAGATTGGGAAGAAGGCCACTGGCAGTGGAACAATTGGTTTAGTATTTGTGTCTTTTTCGGGCTGTTGTTGTGGCTCGGCCTCTGCTTCGCCAAGTTGTTCCAGGGGCAGCTGACTTTGTGGATCCTGAGGTTGTAGCTGTGGCCGTGCGGTTGGCAGAAGGGGCTGCGGATTTGGAACGGAGATTGGGAAGAAGGCCACTGGCAGTGGAACAATTGGTTTAGTATTTGTGTCCCTTTCTGGTTGCTGTTGTGGCTCGGCCTCTGCTTCGCCAAGTTGCCCCAGGGGCAGTTGACTTTGTGGATCCTGAGGCTGTTGCTGTGGCCGTGCGGTTGGCAGAAGGGGCAGCGGAAGCAGATTCAGAGGCTCTTGAATTTGAGGATCCTTGGGCTGCAACTGTGGCTGTGGCTCTGTCTGTGGTTGAGGCTGTGTCTGTGTTTGTGCCTGTGGCCGATTAGGCTGCGGTAGCTTCTTCAGCGCCTCATTATAGAGCTGGAGGTGCTTCTCGCGAGCGCGGAACACCTCATCTGTCTCCTGCACAGGTTTGGGTGCTATTAAAGTCAAAAATGCCGGTAACTTCGTCCGGTTGAGTAATGGCTTTTCCGGCTGTATCTCCGGAATATTCGCAATGGGCTGTGTTTTAATAGTTGGTAATTGTGGTGTTTTTGGCAGTCCCGCCCCCGCTTTCAGCGCCTGCAGACGAGTCTCATACCAGATGCGCAAATGCTCATCACGTGCTCGCTGCACTTCCGGAGTCAGTCCAGGCACCGGCTCAAAGGCGTTCATCTTGATGATCTCCTCGAGCGGCTCATACTGTGCCAATATACTCGGTGAGGGCTGTTGGCCCTCGGCACGCAGTCGATCCAGTTCGGTTCGCAAAGCATTATAGCGCTGTTCGCACCAATCTCGAAAACTTGCAAATTGTGATTGGAGTTGCTTTTCCTTGCTGATACTGCTGCCGCCGCTGCTGCTGCGCAATTGTGGATTCACTTGCTCCGTGCTGCGTACGCCGAAAAGCGGTTCCGGATAAGTGAATGCCAGCAGTCGCTCGGCGCCTGAGTTGTCCAAATATCGTACATAGCTCTGGGCCCGTTCGCTCTGCACGGGAAACTCGCCCCGAGCCGGCGCATAGGCTAACAGATTGTTGCGATAGCCAATCGAGTGTGAGTCTGTGCCCAGCGCCAACAGGCTGAGCAACAGCAATGAACGCATCTTACCGGGTTTTTTCTTTTTTTGTTTTGTTTTGGACCTACTTCAAATGTGGCAACTTGTAGGACTTTTGGTGCAGCGAATCCCCAAAACTTCGCTACGACTTCGTCGGTTCAAAGCAGACTGATGCGATTCTGTGTCACAGGCAGCAGCTTATATAGTCGATGGGCAAAAGAACCGCAAGCCGGATGCCTGAAGCCTGTTGCCTTGTCCTTGAGCTGACCCGGTTTAGTCCGGTTTGATATCGAGGATGCGCCAATAAATATTTTCTTACCCTAGGTTCACGGTTCAGGTCTCATGTCTCAGTTCGAGTCTTGCTTGCCGGTGGCATGCTCTGAATTCTTGCCTGAACCGCAGGCATTTAATTGTCTTGTCTCATTCCTGTTGGTTCTTCCGTTATGTAGCCCGTTCCGTTCACTATTTGGCAGCTGAAGGTCAATCGTGGTTTATTTTTAGTCCCATTCGCTGTCAATTCAAAAAACAATGCATTAATTAAATACAAACGAAGGGCAAAAAGCATCTTTCAGCGCTCTCAGCTGCCTCGATCCGCTCAGCACAACCGTCTTTCGATTTATCAACTCGTCCCTTTTCTGAAGGATCTTCATAATCGTTGCCACTTTGCACTATGGTAATTACTTAAAAGTGCGACTTGACTTGATTTGTCAAAATATCAATTGGCAAAAAAAAAAAACAGATAATAAGACGAGGGTCCAAATATGGTGAACGCTTATTTTTAGCCCAAACTGTGTGTACAGTCGCCATCTGGACGCGCCCGCACGACGCTGACCAGTGGTCAGCGGTAAGGAAGGGGAGGTGAATCCATCTGGGATCAAGCTGGGGGGCAAGCTGTCAGGACTGAACCGGTTGCGCGCACAACATTTCAGCATTTGCGGTATTTAATAATAAATTCAAGTTAATTTCAGTCGGCGCCGTTATATGGTCAACTCACAGACTTTCTTGAACTCACATACATTTAAACGTTTATAAATGCGTACAAGTAATTTATATATATATATATTGTATATGAGTAAAAAAAAATTAATTATGCAAATTAAATTATGGACAGACATAAAAAATGTGAAAATCAATTGCAAATTTTTGTGGTTTTTATATGTAATATTTTTGTTAAAGTCTGTTTTTAAGACAGACGCTTTTGACTCTTAGCAGCTTTCATAATAAAAGAAGGCTCGCTTTATTTATACTTATATATTAACTACATTTTATTGAAATAAATATAATATTTGCTATTATAGAGGTGTGAACATAAATAGAAACAACACTTAAAGTCATTTTTTACAAAACTGTATAATATTTACATACATAATTCGAAGACAAGCTAGACCAAATTAGACCTGTTGACCTGTTAAAAATAGCAATACTAGCGGGATGTTAAGTAATAATAATATATACTATAATAATAATAATAATATTTATTGCACTTTTAGCCCTCTGTTTAATGGAGACATACACCGACTCCGGTGTTCATCACATGCCGAATTGTCACAAGACGCCAAGTCAATCTTAACGCTTTCATATAAAACAGCTGACAGGCATTGGCATTGTAATACTTATAGCACCTACTCAAATAAGTCGCGAACCTTTTACATTTATCGCTGGGCTACTTTCACAAGCAGCAACTGAAAATTTCATAAGTTCCCAATGAGATTGCAAAACGCTTAAAAAGTCTTGTTGCCAAGCGCTCAGCATCTAGTATAGAATTTATTTATAGATACATACATATGTGTTTAGCTCGATCGAACTGACCATAGTCACGCAGACAGCATCGTTGACGCCGACAGCGACGTCACATGCTCGCCACACTTTTTATTATTTTCTAATTTTTTTTTTTTTTTGGACCTGGAAGAGATGCCTTCAATTGTTTTTATTTCTTTTATTTTTGGCAATGTCCGTCTGCCTCGCAATTTATTTTAATTTTTCTGTTGTCCACGTGCTCCATTAAAGTCGAATATATATTTAATCGGAAACGGAGGCACGTCCCGTTTAATTAGAGCAGCACTTACTGGATCCCGTGCACGTCGCCCCATATCTTATCGGTCAATCAGATTATTAGCTGACGAGGCGCTGTATTCAAATTGTTGTGTATGCTCCGTGTGGCAAATGTACGATGTGTGCAGGTGCTAATGTGTGGTTCAGGTGTTAAAATTTATTTAATTAGCGCACTTCATTAAGATGTCTGCTGGCAATATAAATAAACCAAATCACCCCATTCCGATAAGGCTAAAGGAACACCTTTAGCGACTGTTTGAGATGTTTTTCCTGTTGCTGTCGCAGAACCTTGTAAAGCGGCCAAAACAAAAACAACCATAATGACAACACACCTCCCTCTCAACATATAGCATCCAATTTATGTAAATAATTTCTGGCGAATTTCGTGACAAGGCTAATGGCCAACAAACTTACTTGAACCGGACCGATTTCAGAAATTTCGAAATTTGTATAAGAAAGCTTTTGAAATCGCTTTATTATTCATGAGCCACGTTGAGCGCATCACGTGTGACGCTCCAATAGAGCTTTATCTTCAGCTATGTATTACTAATAACGCAAATATCGAAGAAAAAACCCAGACTAAATATCAGAAACAGTGTCAAGTTCCAGTTTCTGTCCACATTGCCGACGTCACAGTGCGGAACTTTGAATGCTGCAGCTGCGCAGAAATTAATTTAATTAAATGATGAAACCCATTCCTTCCAAAGCCCCCTTCTTGTTAAGCCCAACTCAATGAAAACAAACAAACCTGCTCTAGTCGCAAGTTTATGTACGTTTAGAAAATACCCTGTAGACAGTTAAATACAACACGTAAGTAAGATCAACAACTAAAGCCTGATCAACAAATGGTAAATAGAAATGTATTTCACTCGTTACATATGTATGTACATATGAATATTTTAGAGTTTTATACCCCTTTACACCCATTGCGAATTAGTGCAGGGTATCATAACAACCACAAACTGCGCGTTAATGAATATTTGTGAATGATTAAATATTGCGTCGTCAGCAAAAATGATTTTCCTAAATTTGTTTGGCTAAAAAGCCCAGCAGCTGAAATTTGCTACGTTAAATTATTGTTGTGAATGAGTGGAGACGGCGGGAAAGGTAAATTTGAGCAGTGGGTTTATACATACTCATTCTGTTAATCATATTTTGGTAATTTCAGAATTTCGGCATTTTTTTGCATTGCTTTGATTTTAAAAATAAATACATTTAACAAAGCTCAGGTCAAATCGGGCCCGATTTGAGCCATTTTATTTTCATACACGAAAAATTCTTTTTATAAACTTTCGATAAAAAAAAAACAGCGTTGTTAGTGTTGGGCTACCGCCATGGTAGCATTTACGTCATTTGTTGGAAAACATTGAGAAGAAACTCGTTTCGTACTGGCCAACACATAATTGGGAAGTTCCCCACCTTTCAATTGGCATGCTCCAATTGCACAAACTCGGCTTGGCTTTTACGCTGCTTTTTGGTTTTTGATCTACGCAGTTCCGTCTCACGTTCAGTTGTACAAACAATTAATAAATAAATACATCAATTAGAGCGCCAACGCACAGTGACCTACACGACGTCAGGCACTGAGCGCCTGACAAGTACAGAAGCAGCAGCAGCTACACTGTAAATAACAATATACATACATATATACAAATCAATTTTATGTTATTAGATTATTTGAATCGACGATCAGAAGACTTGATATATAATAAAGAAAAAACCAAGAAGTCTACCGCAAAAAATATATTCATTTTCTTCTCTTGTTTATACAATTTGTCGAAATTTAAGCAATATTACAGGTTATATTAAACCTAAGTATAATTCGTTTTTCAAAGAACTCGGGAAACTCAATTATTTGCTTATAATGAAATGAAATGTTGTTAAGACTAAATACAAATTAAGTACATTTCAATTTGAGAGATGCTTATCGATTTTATTGGTATTCGTGAATGAGTTTTATAAGTGTATTTAACACCTTTAATGAAACATTTAACTGCCTTTAAGGCGGAGATTCTGAGTGCCGTAAAAAGTGCTTACTGGCACGTAAATCTCCAATTTTGTAGGTGTATTTTTCTCAGTGCACTTATTTAATAGCCACAATCAATAAACTTCAATCGCAGACAGTCGCTAAATCAATTTGCATTAGTAATTAAGGCCATGTGATGCTTGGATTTTGGGGCGATCTATGAGTTCAGTAGTGTTTCACATTGAATTGAGTTGTCTATGACCAGAGACGCTCACCTGTAGCCCCATCAATTGGCTTTAAGTCGCACTCGACAAATGCGTTGTGCGACCTCAGCAGATACACTGTAATATATATATAGATATTTTGTGTCAGCCTAAACACGTAAATAATGACGCGCTGCCTCTTTCACATTTATTAAACATGTTTATTATTATCTTTCGCATTTTCGTATTTACGCTTTTAACTGCGCCTGTCGCGCCACCTGTCCAATCTGTCAACTGTTTCAGATCTGTTGGCTTACAGAGTTCGAATTTGGTTTCATTGTTTTCTTGTTATTTCCAGGTTATTTGACAATTTAATTGGTTTAAATCCAATTACTGTGACGCGAGTCGCGCGTAACATCCAATTGAGACCAATGACTCTAAAACTGTGGGGTAATTGAGCTTAAGTTTTAAGAAGTACTTATAAAATGTTAAATATTACGTTTATTCTATTGCACCTACATAATTAAATTAATGAAAGATGTTTATTATGAAAAGAATTTCATACTCAACTTTAGAGCAATTTTTCCTAAAATGTCATTTAAAATAGAAATCGGATTTGAGTGGTTCTAGCAAACATCCTGCAGTAAAGAGTAACTTTTTCCCAGTTTCATTAAACCCCTCAATTGAAAGCCCAGTTCAGATAAGCAGACTGACATGGATGCACGTTCCATTAAACGTTTAGATTCACTTAACACTTAATACCTTTAAACGTATAGGTATAAATCATTAGCACAGCATTTTGTTTAAAACATTTATTTTCTGTATTTACTTTACCGTTAAATTTAAACAATATTCAATCTTGTTATGGGCAACTACTACAATACTTAATTGTCTACGCTTTTTTTTTTAGCTTAATTCTATTAATTTTCATTAATTACACACAGTAATTATAATAATAATAATAATAATAATCGTCATCATCATCGTAATACATCGCAATAATAATAATCCAACTTTGCATATTTCTTGTTCATACGGAAATTAAAAACGGAACATATTTAATAAACACTCATACAGAAAAACACACATACATACGAACACACACAGATATTGTACACAATTTAATGCTATTTGTAATTGTTGTTTTCGTTTTAGTTTTAGTTTGATTTGCTTTTTACACCTTTTTGTTTTTTTTTTTAAATTTGTATTTGTATGCTTAACTAGGCGATTTTTGTTTTATGCTTAAAACTATTTAACTTAAACATTGATTTGATTTTCCGTGAAACGTCTTGAGGTTATAAATTCCATTTTGTTGTGGTTGTTGTTGTTGTTGTGGTTTTTGCTATTGCGAAGGATAGATTTGAATTAAATGAAATTTCGAAATATATTTTACAAAAATTTAACTAATACACAGTAAATTAATTAAAAATGGTCATCTGACTATCTTTCGTTTTATACAAACAAAAAAAAAAAATCATAAAACAATCCTTAGCAACACTTGCAGTGTAAAATTGGAAATGGAAAAGTTCAGAGGGAAAGCGCGAGAAAAGTTTAGGCTAGTAAACGAAATATACTAATGGAGGGCCTTCTCAGTAACACAATACAGCTCCCAGTGCCTAACTAACGACTATTTCGAGAGCGCATCTGAATAAGTTAAACATGAACTAGTCCAAAGTGGATCAAACCGAAACATAGATGGACAACTACAAGGCGAGACTAGGGGGCAGGGAATGCATTTAACATTGATTTAAATGCAATTGGGCAAACAGCTTTCACATGATGGGATCAGGGCCCTGACCCTCTAGATCGGATACCTGGCTCTGGTAGTGCAACGCATCCTGATACGCCTTCTTCACGGCCTTTCGCTCCGCCGGTTTGCGAGACTCGACGAGCTTCTGCTGATCCAGCTGCTTGTCAATGCCCAGTAAATCCAGCTTATTGGCGGGCAGCCACTGCCACGTGCGCTTCACATCAAAGAAGAGCACCAGAAAGACGACAGCATCCATACAGTTCTTGCGCAGCGCCAGCACATCCGTTGGCGGCGCCGGCAGCGGCACACCATTATACACGAAACCCTTTGGCGTCTTGGGATCCAAGATGAGCGCCGGGTACCAGGGATAGCCGCGACACTTGGCCCACACCAGCTGCAGCGGCTCGAGCGATGCCCTCTGCAGGCTATTGCTGTGCCGCTTATGGACCGCTTCGCTGGCCAGTGTTCCCGCCTCCTCGAGCTCGTGGTGCAGCTTGCTCCGATTGTTGTTGGTTGTTAAGCTGTTGTTACTCGTCGCCGTGGTGGTGCTCCGACGCGACTTTATGCTATTTACAAGCGGCGATGCATTCGGCGTCGCCGAGCGCAGTTTGCCCGCCTTGCGCAGCAGCAGTGGCGGCGGCGTTGCTGTCGAGCTGGTGGACTCACTAAGATTGCTGCGCCGTTTGCCTCTGCCACGGATAGCGGCCATTGCGCCGCCTCTACCCTGCAGCGGTGTGGGTGTGCTGCGTGTCACGCGTTGTTTGCCACTCGCTTCCCTTTCGTCCTCCTCCTCATCCTCATCGTCATCGTCATCATCATCATCATCGTCTTCGTCGCTGTCGCCGGAGCTGCTGTCAGTACTGCTGATGGCCATGTTGCCATTGCCCTGCGCATTGTTGAGGCTTGCATGCTGCATATCCATGGCATCCGTGGTGCAATCCTCCTGCGAATCGTCACGCATCGCATTCGCCTTTCCGCTATCCGAATCACCCTCCTCGCTGTGCGCATCCCCATCGCTAGCCTCGTCGCTGTCAAAGTCCGAACAGCTGCCGGACATGCTGAAGTCCGAGCAGCTGCTGCACGGACTGCTCGACTGCGAGGGTGCATCATCGCTGTCGCTAGCATCTCGCTGTGTGTTCGCCCTGTACACGCGAAAGCTGTCGGGGATACGCTCAAAGGGTAACGGTTCCGCCGGCGCCAAGGCTGCCAAACCCCCAGTTGTCGCCGTTGTCGTCGTCGCTGTTGTCGTCACTGATGCCGCCGCCACTGGATTGGGTGACTTCTTTGGTGACATCGAAGGCAGGCGGCGATAACGCGCCGGTCGCTTGGGCGACTTGGACAGCGCCAGGCTCGCGCCCATGCCTAAGCCCAGCTTGTTACCAATGGAGGTTAGACTAGCGGCTGCCGGCCGCTCCACCCCAGCCTGTGCGCTTGTGCTGTTGTGCGTCAACGCAAAGCTGCTGGCCGCTGTGGGCGTGGCAGTCGCCGCAAGCGATGCATTCAGCGTGCTTGATGCGGCTGTAGCTGCCGTCGTTGTGGAGCTGGAGCTGGCGCTGGTCGACTGTGTACTCGATGATTGGGAATTGTGGTGCTCCTCCTTGACAGGCGTCGTCAGTGGCTCCGATGGACGCTTCAGCGCCGCCTGCGACTTGCGCGTCAACAAAATGGCAGTCCTGCAAAAATTTAAAGAATTGCAACATTAGTTTTTGTGAATTTATCTATAATCTATTCACTAATTAAATAAGACAATTTATATACTTAATCAGTTTTCCAAATAGTTCTTAGTGGCTTTACCAAAATTTGGAATAACCTTCTATAAAATGCATTGTGTTGGTTGATTTACACTTCAAGAAATCCTTAAATCATTTTTAATATCCTTGTCAGACATTCAGACATCTTTCATTGATATTGTATCGTTATCAATATTAAACCTGATTTAGTATCACACTCATTCGCATAATTAATTCTTTTTATGATATAATCTGTTTATTGTTTTCTTTTATCAATTTATCTAAGTTATCTCATTCCAGTTTCTGACGGCCAGAGTCTGAGTGTTTCGTAGAAACCCCAAAAAATTACAATATCGAGGCGTTTCTTTCTAATATACCATTGTGTGAATCACTGACACAATGTGGGACAGTACCCAAGGCGGTATATTATAAATCGGGAATCACCCTAGCATTCAATTTCGAAGTGCATTTGTAGCTAACTAATTATGCTATACTACAAATGTAATGTGAATATCTAAAGAATATAGATTTATCTGACAAGTAAAAAGACCCACCTTCGATTAATGCCCACGGGTGAGCTGCTATTGTTAAGACTCTTGACAGGACTGCAGGGCGGCGTTTGGACCATATGGCTGGTATCTTTGCTGGCGCCATCCTCGACCATCGAATCATCATCGGATTCATCCTCATCGTCCTCATCATCGTCGTTGTGCTGGTGATCAGGTAGTTCCTGTGACTCGTCCAGATCCATGGCGCTGCTATTGAGACGCTTACGCGACCGTTTCTTGGAGGGTGTAACTCCCGTGTGCTCATTGTCATCATCGCTTTGGGATTGCGGATGCGTTGCGTTTCGCTGAAAAGAATTAAAATTGATGAATTGTTGAAAGGATATTATATGAAATAGAAAATCTACCGTTGTAAAGCGCGACTTTCGCAGGGATTTGCGCATACGATTGATTTCCAGGCGGATTTGCTTGATCTTCTTGGTGCGATAGCTGGGATTCTTGAGCACCTGCGACTTGTCGGCCAGAATGAGCAGCTTTTGTACGATATCCTCGCCGGGCTGCGCTGCCAGCAGCTGTCGCAGCTCCTGCTCCACCTCACCCTCCACATGATCCACATGGGTGCGCTGACCGCGCTCTAGCAGTCCATCCCGTTGCAGTTCCTTGCGCAACTGGACAAACAGCGGCGCCGCCTGGTCACGCATCCGTATACCAGCGCGATAGAACACTGTATCCTTGTTATTGTACGCCAGACAGTTCTGTATCATCAAATCAAAGTCTGCTTCCAGTTGCTCCAACCTGGAGTACTTGCAATCCTTGAGCCTCGTGCGCATGGTGCCCAAATCCATGGGCTGCTTAACAATATCCATGTAGTCGGGCACCTCGCTGGTGTCCACGGGCTCCCGAAAGATCTCCATGGTGTCGCGTGTCTCCAACGCATCCAACAGCTTGCCCAGTGCCGACTCAAGTGGATTTAGCTGCAGCATCACAACCTCCTCGGAGATCTTCACAAATGCAACCTTCAGCTTCTCACGCTTGCGCACCAGCTCGCAGAGCAGACGCGCCCGCTCCAGATCCTGACGCAGACACTGCCAGTACTTGAGCTGACGATACAGCTCCTTGGTGTCCGGTGATCCCTCGATGCCATTGCGCTGAATGACGCCATGATTATTGCCCTGACTCTGCAGCCGTCGCAGCAGCGGAACACCGTTGCGATAGTGACGCTTCAGCGTCCAGTATGCAATGATCCTATCAAGGAACTCCTTCTTCTTCTGCATGTGCACCATGCTCGCTATCTCGTGGACACGATCCGGCGGTATTGTGGGTATCAGCACCACCGGCGCCGATGAGCGTTTCTTTGCGAGCGCCTTGCGAGCCTCACGCATCTTCATGCGCGTATCCTCGAAATCCGGCACGTTTGTCTTCAGCTTGGCATCGGCAGGCGTATGGGCGTGGCAGTAGGCAAACTTCTGTACATGCACCGAGCTATCGTTGTGTCCATCCTTAATGGTGTCCATGGTCATATAGAGGCCAGCCTGTTGCGCACACGTAACATGGAAGGCGGCATAGCAGCTGTTGCGATGGCACTGAATGCAAGCGCCCAGACCCTTCTCCTTGCACACATAGCAGGTGAGGCGCCAACGGGCAGCCGGTATGGTTTCAATAGAATCTGTGCATGGGCAGCGAGAGAATAATTATAATTGTGAACAGTAGTATAGGTAACTTGAAGCCACTTACCAATTGGCTCGAGGAACACGGTGTTGGCAAATCGGACCTCTGGTATCCACAGCGCACAGACGACGTGCGCCCACTGGCCGTGATCCGTTTGCTTGAAGGCGCCGCCAGCATTTGGACAGAGCACACAGTTCACGGCCTTGCTGGGCGATTGCAGGCAGCGACGGCACAGCCATTGGCCCTCTGGGATATAGGGTACACCGTAGCAGTCCTGATGCACCGCCAGGTTGCACATGTCGCAGAAGAGTATCACGTTTGTGTTCTGGCACTCGCCATCCAGGCAAATGCAACAGACCGCATCATCATCCACCTCGACGCCGGTGGGCGTGCCATTTGCGGCAGCCTGAAAGTGAGATTCCTTTTCGAGGCGATCCATGAGCAGCTCCATGGTATCAATGCTTATCGGATTGAGGTTCTGCTTGCTGCGCAACTCATTCATATGCTCCAGCCACGCGGAGTCCTCCTCATCCACATCATATTCGATTTCGCCATCCAGCTCCTCGGCCGACTTCTCAATGAAGCGATAGTAGGCCAAGGGACGAGGTGGCGCATCAGGCACATGGTAGTCATTGATCTCCCGCACATTCGCCACGGGCACCTGCACCTGCGCCCATATAGCATTCTCCTCCAGCGGCGGCGCATCCGCATTTAATATGCAGCCACGCTCGACCAGCTCGGCAAACTCCTCATCATCAACAACTGGCAGCGGATCATCGATGCCCAGACGCACACTCTTTCCATCGATATTAAAGGTGACCGTGCCCTCCTGCTCATTGTAGGCGACCAGCGATTCAGGATTTGTGGTACTTCTGCCCGTGCCGCAGCCATTTTCACTCTCGGAAATACCACCGGTGCCGCCACCAGCGCCACCAACACCGCTGCCATTGTCTTTGGGCGTGGAGTGGAGGGCGCGGGACGAGCGCGCCTTTTTTCGATTCGGCTTGAGTATGGGTGTCAGTGGCTGCGGATTGTCATGATCGTAGTTGGTCAGGTGGCCCTGGAGGCCTACCAGCGTTTTATAGCTGCGATCGCAGTCGCGCACCGGGCACGCGAACGGCGGTTGGGACTGTTTTGATTTCACACCTTTGCAGTACTCCACGACATCAAAGTCGAGTCCCATTGCTGATGCGGTGTGGCGTGGTATTTGTATTGGTTAATGGTGGTGGACAAGTGTCTGCGTGCGGCGTTTTGTTTCTCATATATACATCTTATTTGTTGTTAACGCAAAGCGCGCGGTTCGCTTGTTTACCTTGTTATTACTAAATTTTCGCTGGCTTGCGAATTTCTGGCGAATTTTAACAATGTATTTGAGTATTTTGCAGCACCGGTTGAGCCCAGCATGCCACTTAGCTGTCTAACAACACTTTGCAAACCATTCGATATACTCGATTAATAAACATCGCAAGTCACAAAATGACGCGTATTATGCAAACAACTTATTGTAAGAAATTAAACAATTATTAATTTATCCTCAGGTGCGGCTTGGGTAACTGCATACTCGAGAATACACTCATTGCTTGTGCTTATTTTTTGTGTTGTGCAACACTTCGGACAAGAGCAGCTGCAACGAGCACATTTATCACAAACAAAGCAGCCGGTTAATTTACTTCGTTCGACTAACTAAAAAGATTTACTTTGCATTGTTGGCATAATTTATAGACTGAATAAAATAGAAAATAGCTAATTAGTTAAAAATAACAAATTATTTGCGCGGGAAAACAGCTGCCGGTAGTGTTAGAGAACTTCAATGCTTTAGAGCAGAGTTGCCGCCCGTAAACTATCGATATTCTACTGTTGTATATCGATTTTTTTCGTTTCTCAAATAGCTTGTTTGGCTGGCGACGCGCCTCACCATTCCCGCCATTTGAAATAAACGGAAAGCAATACAGGAAATTTGTTAGTAAATCGAATTAGAACAGTTGCAATTTGTATAAAAATGGATGACTTACTAGGCATAATACGTTGCGTGTCCGAACTGCAGGAGGAAATGAATGCAATGTCCACTGTATGTAAAAATATTCATAAAATTGACTCTGTGTGAGGACTGTAAATGAAAATGCTTCCATTTTTTTTTTTTTGTCTCGCATATTTTCGGTGTTCATACAGAGGCATTTTGAGGAGCTGGCCCAGTCGTTGTATGGCGTCTCTACCACAAAAGAAACAAAATCTGCGGAAATTGTGCCGCCCAAACAGACGTCAAGCTCCATAACTCCACAGCAGACCAAGAAACGTGCCAAGCGCCTCTCATCATTGGTTGAAGTCGAAGGCGATGGTGAGCTGTGAAAAATTCAAAAGAAACTAAAATAACTCACTCAAATACTGATCCATTTTGCGCAGTTCCCTCTGATGCATCGGTCGCCTCTAGCGAGTCTTCGCAGCGCCAGAGCGCTCGCATAAGCAACTCCAAGCTACTGGCCGACGCCCTCGAGGAGGAGGAGGAAAACGAAGTGAACACAACGGGCATTCTGATGCCACCGCCGGCAGTGCCTGCAGTTGGAGCTCCCTTTGTAAATGATACCAGCATCAGTTCGGGTCGTCCGCAACGTGCCGCCAGATTGCGTTCCGAGAAGAACCTAAAGGAGCAGCCGCTCAAAGCCAAATTGCGGCGTCCCAGCGAAAATGAGATGGTCAAGGTCAAGGTGGAAAGTGAGCAGCGTGCTTCGCAGTTACACAATATTAGCTCGGCACGCATTACCCAAGGGAAAACAACACTTGCTCAGCCAGAAGCAAAAGTTGCTACCGCAGAAGTTGCAGCTGCAGCTGCCCTTATTCCTGATCCTGCTCCGGAACCTGTAGATGCAAATGAGGCGGATGAGAAAAAACAGAGCACCACCAACCTGCGCATTATGATCAAGCGCGAGAAGGTAAGCATCGACTCGACGGCAACAACAACAGTCACACTGGAAGCAACAAGAAGCGCCGCCGATGATACAACCCAACTGTCGACAACAACAGCAAGTAATACAACTGCTGCGCCCGCCAAGAAGGGACGCAAGAAAAAGGAGACACACAAGCCCATCAAGGTGGAACGTTTCAGTGATCTGGACAAGAGTTCACCCATATCTTCGCGTACGCGTGGAACACGCAATTCACAGGAGCCGCAGCCAGCACCGCGATCCTCTGTTTACGAGGATGCCGTCGAGGGTTTGCCCAATGCCGTTCCAATTATTGCCAATGAGACCGTCACCATAATGCCCAATGCCACCAATGGAGCTCCTATGAGCGAGGTCACGTTTAACGTACCAACATCGAATGCCACAATGACATTGGGCAATGCCACATTCCAGGTGGAAGCAGGCGCATCCGAAGAAAAGGATCAATCAATGCAGACGGCACGCGAAGGCAGCTTTCCTGAAATGGCTCGGAGCAACAGCATAATGACCGAGGATGAGTCGCTACACAGTGTGACCAAGGCGCCGGTTATGCCTCCGCCGACACCCCTGAAGGGCCACAAGATGCCAGTGCGTACCCATGAGCTGTTCAAGTAAGTAGCTGGCTATTGCAATTCTTAATCTCTGCTGATATTTCATTGTATCTCTCTTGCAGTCCGCTGATGCAGAGCCCGGTTAAGTTGAGAGTGGAGGCATTTGAGAACGCGGCGAATGCACATAGCTCTACGCGTCCCAAGCGAGTTGTGGTATGTTTACTTGTCCAATATTGCCGAAATAAATTAAAGTATATTTTTGTTATTCTGAACATCATCCTTGAATTGAAAAGTCTTATTTTTTAACAGCTTTTAAAGTCTTTGAAATTGGTTACCAAGTCGAAGTTTCCTATCTACATTATGGAATTCTACTTTTATTATTATTATTGATTTCTCTTTAAAGGGCAATTCTGGTTCCAGCACTACGCCAGTCATTGGCAAGCTGCCTGTGCCGACGCTGGGACGTTTCCACACACCGACTCAGAGTTCGAATGCGGCACCTGTGAATTCGGCGCAGCCGAAGAAGCCGCCGATGAGCGCGAACAAGGCCACATCGCTTATGAAAACGGCGACTGGCACAAATCTGAAGTCAACAAACTCAACTTCTAGCAAAACTCTGTCTCGAGAGCACAGCGGCGAAGACTTCCGCAAGGGGCTGCATCAGCTGGCCGAGGAGCGGAAGAAGCAGCGCGAACAGAAGCATCTGCAGGCGGCACAGCTGCGCGAGGCCAAGGAGCGGGAGCGAGCCGAACGCATTGCCAAGCTGAATAAGGAGCGCGAGGAGAAGCGCATCAAAAAACAGTTGGAGAAGGAGAAATTGGAGGAGCGCAAGCGACTCGAAATGGAAGAGCTGCAGCGCAAGCTGTGCCAGCAGGAGGAAGCCGAACGCCTCAAGAAGACCAAGGCAAAGGAGCAGGAGCGCGAGCTGCTCCAGCAAATGAAGGCAAAGCAAATGATGCCGCCACCACCGAAATCCAAATACACATTCGAAATGTTGCACGAGGATGATTCTACTGATGATGAGGGCAAGGTTTCCTACAAACGGCCACCGCCACCCTCCTGGAGTCGCTGTAAGAAATCTAGAAAATATTTATCTCTAATAAAATAAATCTTGAGCTAATCCTATGTTCTCTTACAGCTCATGTGCGCGGCGCGGCGATTATTATGCAAAGCTTTTGCCCAACGGACGTTATTGACAGCTTCTTCTCGGTGGCGCCAACCACGCCAGATCTGAAGCAGATCTTCCCCAATATTGATCCCAGTTACTTGAAGCGCAACTCCAGCGTTTTGTGGTCAACGCCGCCGCGCTACTCGGAGCTGCCTAAATACTAGAATTTAATTAAGTTAGCATTCATTATCGCAATCATACTATAAACCCACATTTACCCATTGTTTTTTGCTGTCATTTCCCGGTCATCGTGTTTCCACATTTTTTCAGTTTTGTTTCGCTGCACAAGTTTTTGTAGCCCAATATAATAAATAAATAATCACATGAAGATAAACATAAAACATTGAATACCCAGCACCCAGTGACCGCAAAATGCATTCGATGCGAGTACCGCAATCAATAGCAATTCCAGCTTAAAGTTTGACATTAATACCCAAGCGCTTAGAACTATTAAAGCTGCTGGCGTACTCAATTATGGCCAGCTTTGCCCGGCTCCCCCATTAACAGGTGCCAAACAATCGAGACATAAAAAAAAGAAAAACTAAACTGAGTAAATACATAAATGCTACGTGTAGAGGAGATAAGTAAACAAAAAAATACAAAAATTTCACTGGTCATGGCCCATGATTTTTTTCGCCACTTTGCCTGCTCTTCGATTTCGATTGTGGCTTCTTCTTCATATTATCAATCGGAGTTTTTGCTTTGCTGCGCAGCGCTTGGCTGCCAAATGAGGTGACATGAAAAACGAATACCGCCGACGCTTCGTGATCGGCTCCTCTTGTTTTTCATGCTGCTGCTGCTGCTGCTGTTGCAGCTGCTGCTGTTGATGTTGCTGTTGCAGTTCCTGCTGTGGGTGTGTTGTGTGTTCGTCCCATGCAATTGAATACTCGTGGTAAGCCGCAGACGCAAAAATTGCGATTGGCAGTTGGCAATTGCAGCTCGTGTAATAGACGGCGATTTCCCGAGACAGCAGCATAGAAATAGAAAACAAGAAAACCTTCAGGCTGCGACCAAACAATGCTTGTGGATCCAACGACTTTGTCACGATGATTGCTGGTCATTTTTATGATTTCGTTACAATTGTAAAGTATCAAGCATATCAATATTTAATTTTTTTTTTTAAATTAACGTCAGCTAAAGTCATCAACACAAAGGAATATAAGAACATGTTACATTAAATTAAAAAAACAAATTTTCAAATTAAATTTAAATGAAAAGATAAGAAATATTTATATGATATATGAACTTATATCCTTTCCACATTTTAAAGTATCCAAGCTTCGGTTAGGCATTAACAATCAAAGGTGTTTCTTGCTTAGTTTTCAGTTTCTGCAATTGCTTGGCTGGGCGGCCTTTGTCTCTGTCTATGTCTAATCTTGATCTCTCGTGCGTTTGCAATTTGCGAGGTAATTGTTGAAGACGCCGCTGCTGATTGGATTTGCGCCTTTTCGCCGTTCGCATCCATAGGGCAGATGGGCGTGGAGCGGAGCAATTGTAGGCTGTTGTCTGAAGCAGCTTGTTAGCGAGTCCAACTGCAGCGATTAGTGGCTAATGTGCTGTTTAAGGCCAGCCATTAGCATTTCGCTTCAATTTAAATACGCTCTTTTTTTGTGTTATTTTGCTAATAAGCGTTGCAAGTGCCGCGGTTAAATGGACATATTCGATAAATTGGCACTTTCAATTGTTGCTGGTTGTTGCTTTGCTCGGCCAAAGTCAATGGCAGTTGTACAACTCACCACAGCTGCTTAAGACGGCGGCTGAGAAAGTCACCATTCAGCCTAGCGCGGATCGGCTTTCGTCTGCACGTTCGGTTTTTAGTTCTCGTTGGGCCTTTGTGTGTTGCGCACCTGTTGACGGTAAAAGAGTCGAAGAAATAAGCAAGAGAAGAAGCCGCGACACACACTGCGTGTGTGTTAGTTAGCTAGTGTTCGTGTGAGTGTGTGTGCGTTAATCTATGAAAAGTGAATAACTAAAACGAGCGGAAAGCTGGCGCTGACGTTGCCGTACTCGTTGTCGTTGCGATATAAATTGAAAAATTGTAAGAAGAAGCAGCCGCCAAAGGCAAAATGTTAACGAAATTTGTGTGTGTGTGTGTGTCTATGTGTGTGTGTGCTTAAAAGCAAAAATACGGCAAGCAGCAATAACAACAATAACAAAACGAAAAACAAAACTTTCTTTTTTGCGCTACCTTTTGCCGCCGACTTTTAAACACTGTCTTCGTTTTGCCTTTGTTTCTAGCATTGTTGTTGTTGTTATTGTTATTATTATTGTTGTTGCTTTTGTTGCAAATTACGTGGTTTTCGCGCTGTGAAATTTGTTGCAAGCAATTTTAATTTGTTTCTCGTGCACACACAGATATTTTCACTGTTAATTAAAATAAATGCCGCTGCAGTCGAAAGCATAGCGCAAACAAAACGTTGATTAAATTTAATAACATAACTGCATTAGGGCAGACGCCAAAAACAAAAACTACAGCTAATTAACCACTCCAATATCCGACTCGATGTTGCAAGTCTTGTAGACGTGCCGGATGCGTGCCAAGTAGCCATAATGCGTAGTATAAACATGACCATTAATCTGCCCGCAGCACATCTCAAGCGATTCATTCAACAACAAAATTATCTAGCTCTCTCTCTCTCTCTCATACTCTCCATATCTCTCTCTCTCTCTTTCTCTCTCTCTCTCTGTCGGCTTACAACCTGTCTCTTGGCAGTTGACCAGCTAATGCCGGTCACACAGCCTACACATGTTGGCTATTTGCAATCGGGATCGTTCACTAAATTGCCACAGCTTTAGCTCCAGTTTGCAGCTACCCAGCTATTTACAGTTAACTGTTCCATTTTCGGCCATCGTTGCGCATTTGTGCCAATTTTTTTGTGACGCTTCTACAAGCAGCAGCTGCTCCACCAGCTCCCCATTACCATTTGCATCTCTTTCGCACTTGTTTAACTTAAATATTGCTATCTTTGATTTGAATTTGGATAATGCATTCCTTGAAGCCACAAAACCACATTTTTTGCTGTTCGTCTGCTGTCAAACGGGCTTCAAGTCGCGTCTCCCCCCCTCTCGCTCTCTCTCTCCCTCTTAACTTGGCCATTATGTTTATAGAAATTTCAATTTGTTTGCCTTCGCCTGTTTTGTGCTTTGCAGTTTTTTGTTATTTTGGTGAAATTTTTGCTGTGCGCGTTGTGTGCAAAATGTAATTGAAAATAACGTGTGAAAGACAAAAGGAATCATAAGAAAAAACTCTTAATGCATTTGGATTAATGATTGATATTTGAGGTAAGCTATAGATAATGTAGAAAGTTTATGATCAACCTAATTGGAAGACAATTGCAATTTTCAATTTGATTGGAAATGAAAATAACAAATATTCTTCTATATTATTTTCATGTGTAGCTTTGTAAAAACTTAAATACGAGAAAAGTTAGCAGAAGTTTATTGCCACCAAGCTTTTTCTTTGCAAAACTGCCAGTTTATTGCTTAAGTATTTTGTCTTAAAATGTACGTGATTATCATTGATTGCCAAAAGACAGTCGCCGGCAGTCTGATGCAATTACAACCGCTGACTTTTATCGTTTTTGTCTTCTGACTTATTAGCTGCCCGCTGATTCTTCACATATCTCTACTGCTTGGTCTGCACATGTAATGCCTGAAGTTCAGCTTAAGTTACGCAACGCAAAGGTGTCCAAAAAAGTTTAAAAAAAAAACAACAAATAATAAAATCGCATGAGTCATTTAACTTGGCAGGCAGGCAGCCAACTAATTATGAGCCAATGCAACACTTCCGTTGAACAGGCAACCGTCGAGTGTGGCGAGTCGAGTTGAGTCGCATATCGAAACACACAGAAAACCAACTTCATAAACGGCTCACAGAATTTAAACAACATGCGTTGCATGTTGACAAGCGACTGCGTGGGCAGCCACAAACAAATCTTGCCTGGCAGTCACTCACTGGAAACAAAATGGAGTCGTTTAATGACAGTCTGAGCAGCAGCAGCAGCAGCAACAACAACGCACGCCCACGTTAAATATGGCATGTTGTCGTCATTGCTTGTTGGTTTTTATTGTTGTTGCTGCTCGCGTTGTTGATGTTATTAAAAGAAACTTTCTATTTCACTTGGAACAGCCGAAAATTTTCAAGGTTCGGCATCTGGAAAAACTTACCAACTTCCTGCACTCAATGTGTAAACAATAACAAAGCCTCAAACCGACAACAGCAACAGCGTTGCCAAAATGTTGTTCCATGACTCAACTTGGCTGCACATGTCGTCGTCTTCCAAAAATTAAAAAGGTGTACATTAGGCTGTAAAAAAAGTGTGATTAATTTTGGGTTTTGCTCTACTCTACTTCATTACTCCTTGACAGTTTTTAAATGTGGTTTCCTTCAGTTTTCCTATTCCTGCACTTACGTCAGATTTGTGGCATCATCCATCCCGTTAATCCAATGAAAGTTCAACAAATAGATCACCACTTCGACGTAAAGAATTTAACATTTTTACAGAGTATCCCAGAGTCAGAGAGTTCCAACTTATTCTTTATATTAAGGTTTGTATCTGAGTTCAACTACAACTTTGAGCTGAAGTCGAAGTCGGAGTTTGTTTTGTATCTTTCGCTTTTGCTGGGTGTAATCGTAATCGCTTTTCAAGTTTTCGCTTCGGCTCACGTAGCAACCTTTACTCTCTAACTCATTTACTCTGTATCTCTTTGCCATCTCTCTCTCTCTCTCTCTCTCTCTCTCTATTGATCTATCTTTCTTCCTCTCTCTCTGAGTGCTTTCACTTTCAGTTAATGCTGTGTGCCCCGCAATTGTTTTGGTTTTTTTTTGTTGGTCGCTTTATCGTTTGGTGCCTTTGCTTGCTTTCTGATTAGCCGCTAATCGACAATTGTAGGGCGTATTTCTATTGTTGTTGTTGTTGTTGTGGTTACACGTATTGCGTAATAGTAACTGGAGATTTAAGTTAGCCAGAGTTACCATTCTGATTGGCAAATACAAGTATTGAGCGTTATTCGTTTCATTTATCGGCTTTGGGTTTTTGGTGTGCGAGTTTCACTTTTCCTTTTGACACCTCTCAAATTGTGCTGTAGCTTTCGCTCTTACAATTTTTCCTTTTACATCAATCAAAATTAGCATTTCAATCACTTTGCAGTAACTGTTGCTGTTGTTGCTCTACACTCAGGTGATGCACAGCCAGCAGTATCAACCGGCATCGCTGACATGAGGTTATGTAAATGTGACTTAGAAAGCCACTGGGTGACTATTTCTTGTCTTTGTTTTTTTTTCTTTTTGTGGCCAAACACTGATTTATAAATGAATTTGTTTGGACACTCTGGCCTTTTTTTGGCTTACGCAATGTTGGGCACTTAAATGGGCAGGGCTCCCCATTAAAATAACGACAAACACTCTGATTAGTGGCACGTTCTCACGTGAATTTGAGATGTCGAAAACGACGGGAAAGAAACTGATAGAGTGTCATACAAAAGACTTAGGCAACAAACTCGAGCATTAAATCTTTTCAAAAAATACAAAAACTAAGTTAATAAGTATTACTTTTTTCTTTTTCTTTGCAGATGCTTTTAATATGTAAATCTTTAGGCAATAATTCTGCAAATTGAAAGGAGAAGAAAATGCCACACCAAAGTTCAAAGCAGCCTCAAAACACACACTGAAAAATACCAAAACTAACAATACTTGACAGCAGCTTACAGTGAGGCTTTCTTATCTGTCGCCAGCAAAACAATTTATGCAAAAATGCGACGAAAGCCACAGAATCTAACACAAAATCAACAATCCAGTAGAGGTGGCAAAAAAACCAACGACAACAATAGCAACACCGACACCAACAAGAAGAAGAATAGAATGACAAACTGCCAGTGGCACATTTGGCACTTGTCAGCGACTCTGCTGTCAATTTCTCTGCCCCTGCTGCTGCTGCTCCACGTTCAAACAACGGGTAAGTCAAGTCTTAAAGGGAATCTCTATTGGAATTTCACAAGCAAACATAAATTGAAAAAAATAATTTTAATGTTTGAATTCGACCACTGTGACTTTTAAAGTCAATATGTTAACAGAAGAATGAAAGCATGTTGTAGGCGAGAGTGCGCGACTGGGAGATAGACAGTAGAGAGTTTTGAAGTTACCCTAGCTTATCTTGTATATTTACTTAGTATCTGTAGCCTTTATGCTTAATAGGGGAACAGAAAAGAAGCATACTGATGGATATTTTAATTTATAGGTTCTGATTGAGTAAATAAAAAATTAATTAAGCAGTAAATAATAAGATTAACGATGTCTCATTATTTTCATTGCACGTTCAATATATTTTTTCTTCATTATAAGTTGTTTAGGTTAGCTGAACACCGTATTCAACGTACACAAAGAATCTCAATTTCTTTGATATTTAAACATAATTAAAATATTTTTTTGTAACTTTCTTCAATGCTTCACAAACTACTGCGTTGAACTCGAATCCATTAGGCAAGTGCCAGCGGTTATTGTTATTAATGCACTAGTAGTTGAGATGAGGCAAGAAAATGCCTCGTGCTGCGAGCCCAACACACATACTTTTACACACACACATACGTATATACATATATGTATATGTGTAATTTCTTTTTAGAAAGCTCATGCTTGGTACATAATTTATTGGGCGTCACTAAGAATGAATAGATACGTAAAGTAGATAGCAAGATGCTCAAACTCATACTAATAAATATACTCATACCCAATTCCTTTCATGTGCAAGTGAGTACCCGGCGAATGTATATGTTTTGTTTGTTTAAAAGTATGCCAACATTATCTTCAAGCACGCAGGTGCACACGCTTGACTAGCTGACAGATGGGCGGCAGCTCCCAGCGCCCGTAGAGTCCCAGTCCGTTGTCTTTCTGGCCTAACAAAGTTATGCTAATTTTATTTTTTTCAAAAAAATACGGGCTTGACCCCAATAAAGACGACTTTGATCTGACATTTTTGGAGCTGCTGATTTAACATCTGCCTAGGCGTGACACATAAAGATGACAGAGCACATACGAATACAATAAATTTACACTTCATAAGCATGCATTGAGTTTGGCTTGGTGTGTTTGTGAGATGCGTCATTTCTTTGACTTCAATTTTGCACATTTCTGTGGCTGGCACAGTTGTGTAACGTTTGATTATTCATGCCGGATTTATTGAACCGGGCTTTGCCCCTTTCATCGATGCCAACATGCAATAAGTGCGTGACGTGCGTGAATTGCTGTTAATTAAAGACCTGACGTTATTGTATATATTCATGTCTATCTATTCAATCAATGTGATAATAGATTGACCTGGTGGGTGTGACAAACGTAAATTAATACTTGAGTAATTAAGTATTCAAAGTGCATCAATATCACATAGCTTAAATTAAAGTTGTGCAATGAGCCAGCTGTGTATGCAAAACACTTGATTTGGTTTATAAACAAATGAAACGAACGAAGCAAACATGCTCAACTTAGCCGTAATAAACATTCTGAAGTTCCCATGCAGTTAGCTCCAACAATATTTGTAGAAAGGGCATTGAAAGCCAGAAAGCGCTCAGGAATTTCAATTATAAACCAACACACTTGAGTCGTTAAGCATGCATCACATGCACATGCATATGCCCAAGCACAATGAGCAACCACCGCTTGCTCCAACTGAATCAATTAAGGCAAACTGCTTTACTGTTTACTGGGCCATTTAAATCAAATATGTTGGCATTTTCAAAGCAAATCTTTCATGCAGCTAATAAGCCTTATTAACATACGAACGGTGTCCATTGAGTGCACAGTGCACAACGCAAGATTTACATAAACATGAAAAGAACCGTTATATTCGGCCGAATAGTTAATTAAATTACTGCTATAGTGTAGCTAATTGTATGTTGTGGTTAGCTAAACTTAATCAAAATCTTTGAAAAAATATCTTTTATGTACTCGTTTTAGCTATCTATATTTTGTACAACAGGCTAGGCTTACATATTTTGCGATAGTCTTATAACACCCCACATAAATATAAAGGGTATTCTAGTGAAATAAACTCAAACTCAATGCGAAGCTGCATTCTTCATGGTTCGCAAAAAATTGGGTGAAGTGAAAATGATTTTTACAGCAGCTTAATTAAAAAATCCACGCGGCCAATTGAGAATCTTAAGCAGCATAGGCAGTTAGTTGGTAACAATGCTAATAACGGCACTTGGGGCTTTCGAAATGTTTGAGCCAAAGAATTGAAATTCGTTTTGTGTGCATTGGAAAAGTGTCGCTCCGCGAAGCGAGGCATCGACAGCAGCAATAATAATAAGAAAAACAACAACACAAGCAAGAGCAGCAGCATCATCAAGGTAACGACATTAGAAAGCGTGATGAGTTCGAATTTCTGAGTGTGTGTGCAAATGTGTGTTTTTGTGTTTATGTGTGTACCAAAAATCTACAAAGAAAATCAAACAGTCAGCCGACGGGATGAGTGCAATTCATCATTAATTTATTTTGATTCGATTCGTTTGATGGGCCGGAATAAAGTAACTAGTTCGAGGTGGCATTGACAACAATAACCTGTTGCATTTATCATATATATATACATATTTTTGATTTTATTGTATTTGTGGTTTTTCCCTCGTTTTTTAAGCTGCTTACATTTTCAGATTAGCTGTGCTTACTCCACACATTTTTCTCTCCGCTTTGCTTTTTGGCACATTTCGGTAACATGGCCCACTTGCCAGTGAAAGACTACGAAAGAGAGAGACAGAGAGAGTGAGAGAAATATAGAGAGAACGAGAGGAGGCAAATATATGTATATATAAATATAACCGAAAAGTTGTTACTTGGCCAGGGCCAGAATACTGTATAAAGATGCCACGATCTTCAACTGCAGCAACGCTTCACAAATTTATGGCGCTGCTTTTTATTGGGTCAGGCGGCAGGTTTCATTTGTTGCTGGTGGTGCCGGTGGTGCTGCATTCTTGGTGGGCCACACGATCCACACGGCATGTTGACGCAATTAATTAAAGTTTTACGCATCCAACCGAACAGGTGCGCTATGAAATAAAGATTAATGGCATGTCTGTCTGAGATTTCTGAGACTTTAATTCGTAGCAGGCCAATATTCGAATTTATTGCAGAATTTAAATAAAACCAGAAAACTGACAAGATATAAATTGCAATTGAATTTTAAAAATGTCACTTGTTAATTAAAAGTTTCTTCTCTAGAAATTTTTCTTCCTGTCAACATTTTGTTTCTTCGTAAATGCAAGACCTAATTTCAAAGCCAAACGATTTATCATAGGTGCGTGAAAAATGAATTTTATTATTTGAAGCAAACTTGCAATTGGCATTCATGCAGCTGCACTACTAACTGGCCGCACATCATTTCATTCAACTTAATGGAAATCGCAATTACATGCCAATGATTTTATCGGCCCACAAGCGAGCTTGAATGCATTTGTATACATGTATGTATGTGTATATGTGCGCTGCACACAGATCCAATTAACTTAAATGTTTCTCCACCCTTTTCATTCAATTAGAGTTGAAGTTGTGACCAGAGTCAACGTCGAAGTCTAAATCGGAATCTGAGTCGGAATCGTATCAATAACTGCATGCATACTTTCCCTTTCCCATGCGCCTGAGACAGCAGCGACAGCCAGTCCAAAAATTTGTACAATGAAATTCGGCACAACGAAAGTTGCCAGCAACAATAATAACAACACCAACACCAACAACAGCTACAGCCGTAGCGACAGCCACTCGCATAACCATAAACACACACCCATAACAGCAGCTTGAACCCACAATTTATCTTGATTTCGGTTTGGTCAAGTTCCTTCTTGGCCCTGGCCATGCCAAATATTTTTGTCCCGCGGCGCAGACAATTTTGAGGCGCACGCAAAATTGCACAAAGGCAGCGAAAACCGCAGTCAACAAAATTGACAGACGGACTGTCGTACGGACAGGCAGGTAGACATGGCGGGAGAGTAACGTTCACCTTAACGCTTGATGAAGCTGCAACTCAGGTAGACAGAACGTACATATATTTACATGAATATACTCGTTTCTATGTATGTGTGTGTGTGAATGATTGAATGGTAATCAATGAAAACATTTCGCTGTCTGAAACTTTTTTTTCAGTTGGATAACCGGTTCCGGATTTTTATTTTGAAAGATGCCAAATTCGTTTGGTCTTCATTTACATTTATAGTTAGTTGTTTTGCGGCAAATGCTTTCTTTTGCAGCGCCAGAATGAATACAAATGATTCTGGAGCTTAAAAGCTAAAGACTTAGGCAACAAACTGAAGCTTACAAAGCCATTGAAGTAAAAGACTTAGGCAACGAACTTGCTGCTAAATGAAAGACTGAGACAACGAACTGGCTTTCGATAAAATACTTTTGCTAAAGAAAAATCATAAGAAGTTGTGAAAAGATTTTGCCTTATAATTAAGTTTCATTAATTTATAACATTTTGCTTCTAGATGCGTAGGTGCGTCACCTGTTGAGGCATGAGTTGCTTGAGGCCATAACCACAATTAGCCCAATTGGTTGACTTGACGTTGACATAAAAAACCGCGTAAAACTTGAAATGGTATACCGTTAAATACGTGCAGTTATCTACAGACAGTCACACACACACACAGATAAATACATTTATACACATTATAGCACACACACACACAGAAACACACGCACAGCATTTGGCGCGCAGTTAGAAATAGGCTAATAAAAAGCTGTTTGACAGACTGACGGACTGACTGCTTCGACTGGCCGGTTCTGTAGGCCATTTGTAAAACGTGAACGTTTTTCAACTTTTGGTATGATGCACAGTCAACTTATACACACTCACTCGCACACACAATGCTTTTGAACTTGTCACACACCATCGGCCGTTTGTCCATATTGGTCTCAACTTGTTCCGTTTTCTTGGGGGCACGTTGACACAGTTTCGCTTTGTGACTGACAGAG